ACAAGGATATGTAGTGGTGGAGGTTGTTAATTAATAGCAAAACCTGTTATTGTAAGAAGTTTGAACAAAATTTACTTTAAACATAAAGGAATCAGTGTGTTAGAGATAGCCTTTACAGAGATTAACTTTACCATGCATCCAATGTGTTAAATTACCTGATTTGTTAAAATTAGTTAAATATAAATTGATAAGTAGTTTTGTACAAATCTAAAGTAAAGCCTTAGCAGCTCAGCATGTCTCCTTAATGGAGTCATCAATTAATCACAAAATTGATGCTAAATATGCTTTAAAAAGACAAGAAGAAGCAGCTCTGAATTACAGACAAAGCAAGTAACATGGTAACATACAGAGTTCTCTGTTGTTTGGTCTTTCCCACTTTTCTTTAGCAACTTTGGCTTTAACTGGAGGGAGAGGAAATAAATGAAAAAGCAATTAAAATATAAGATGAGAAGTTAGAGTAGTTAAAATTGTTGCCCTTTTGCAGTGTCAGTTTGTAGGTAAGTGTTTCACTAGATCAGCTCATACAATTGGAAAAATCAGAGAGGTTTTCACATGTATGAAGCCTTTTTCAGCTTCTGGTAGTAGATACTGCAAGTGTTTTTGCTGTGAGCGCAGAAAGGACTGTGAAGTCCTAATTCTCTGGTCAAGGTCTCATTATCATGTAAAGATTCCTTTTGTAGCTCTGTTTGGCTTTATCTAAACAAAAATTTTGTTCTAGATTTAAAAAAACCAGTAATCACCTAACTTTTAACCATGTACATTTTAATGGGTTTGTTTCTGTAAGCATAAAACTTCTTCCAAGTCTCTGATATTTTTAAATTTTACTGAGGTTTCTGTTCTGTATGTGTATGAAGAGAATCAGTAGACAAGCGAAGTCAGGCTGCAGTAGCTTTACTGCAGCTCATAAATACTTTGATGTGAATTTAAATTCTTTTACTTTTACTGGAAGTTTATACTCTAAGGATAATTTTAACTTCAGAATACCTTTTATTTTAGACACTTTACTGAAAAATGAAAATGTGCTTGCTGTTGAGAGTCCAGGTATGTGCCACACAGGAGTTCACAGAAGTGTATGTGCAGTAGAAGGACTTCAACCAACCTCCTCTTTAAAATTTAACCATAATAGTTATGAAATCTGGAAATGTTTTTTTATTCTCCATATGGAATTGTTAAAACTGCATCCATTTAAAAATTAACAAAACCAGAAGAATCACTTTGAGCCTACCTTGTAGACCGCAAAGGAAGTGAGCACAGCAGAGCTGTACAGGAACAGTAAGGACGAGATGATGATCATGGAGATGAGTTTTCCATTGCTCTGCTGCTTCTCTGATCCTTTATTAAAAATGAGTGTTAGAATAAAGGGCAGTTCTGATTCACATAATTTTTTAAGACTCTGCATTCCAGCTCCCTTTCTCTGAGGAATGAAAAGGCCATATACCATCAAAATTCTTCTGATTAATTTCAGTCTAAATTCCTTAGTGGTATGATTTTCCTTTTCTTCCTGTGTTTGCAAGGGCAATGGAGACCTGCTAGTTTGATTACAAACTTTTCCTTAGGGATAGAGAGAGAATGGAATCCAGTTTTCTGCTCCTGTAAAGGTATATCTGAATAAAGCTCATAGACTTCTGTTCAGAAATGGAATTAGAGGAAGGAAGGAATATAAAGAAAGTAATAATCCAGCTGAGTGTTTCTGGGTTATTTTTCCTTTTCTGATTTAGTATGTAAAACTGAAATGTAATTACTGAAGTTTCATCACTTTCCTAACTCGAAGGCAAGTGATACAAAGGTTTGGAACATATTTCTCAGGCTGGCAGAAGTGAATCCCCAGGTCTGGGGCTCTGCACTCTCTTGCACATACTTCTACTAAATGTTGGTTTCTCTACTTCTCATTTTTTTGTTGATACTTCCTTTTTGACAGCCACAAAAGTCTTCATGTAAGAGGATGTAGAGTGTGGTTAGACAGCACAAGTGCAAAATTTCTTTCTTTTGTATAATTCTAGAGTCATCATCATATGACAGACCAGCCTAATTAGCAAGGATTGAGATGCTTATTTGTGGAATCCCTCTGGTTTTACTAATAAGATCTTAATATAGCCGTACTACTCCTAAAAGGTTTGTCGGTATTTCCATCTTAAATGTCATTCTTGAAAGTATAGAGTATTTAGAAAAGATAATTTATTTCTTCCAAGATGCTTCATTAAGAAGGAATGAACAACTGACCTGTTACTGTTAGTACTGTTCCATCTCCTGCTTGTTTAGAAAGGGATGAATCTGAGTCTGAGAATGCTATTCCACAGATATAAACAGCGCTGTCATCTACAGTCAGATCTTTTATCTCAAGTAAGATGTTATTTGCTGATGAATGTACTTTATACTTCTGATGATCTGTGCATCCAGGAGTACACAAATCTTGATGTGAATTAGTTAAAAAGCGAAACCACAGAACTTCAGGTGGAGACGAGGGACACCCAGAAGCAGAGAAGGTGCATGTTAGGGACACATTGTTCATGGAGGAGTCAGCTTGCTGAAACCTGGGCTGTGTTACAGTGACTCGGCAGTGACCTGCAACACCTGTTGGGAAGGAACAATTGGTGATGTGAGGGACAGCTAAAAAGCCAGGTACAGTCTAAAAAGAAAAAAAAAAACAACTACTTTTGGTTCATTCAAGGAAAGGTGGGAGGAAAGGAAGAAATCAACTGTGTTTGAAACTTGAAATAATTAAAGTTATTTTCAGTGAATTTTTTAGATAGTTCCTACAGCTTGCACATGTGCTCATTTAACACTTTTTATCTACAGGGAAATGTGGTTGCCTTTCTATTTTTTGACAAAATAGAGAAGATTGATAGATCTGAAGCAATGTGAATGTTCCCTTTGGCACTGGAGAAGACCAGAAGAATATGCTGTGCAGCTCCTAGCCCGAGATTTAGCCCTGCATGTTTTGGGGGTAGTGGCCAGTGGGGGTGGGCATTTTGTGACATAAGTGCAGTTGCTCAGTGGAGCAGTTCTGCAGGGCTTTCTCTCTCCTCCACTGTTCCTGGTCTAAGTCAAGCCAGACAAGCTCAAGGCAGGCAGTGGAAATGTCATAAATCAAAACATTTATGATTTAGCCAACTTCATAACATTGATTAGAATTCACAATAGTTCCTAGATGTTCTTCCACTTTATCACATATATTGATTCTGGGTTTCTAAGAATAATAGTGCTTGTTAGTTCTGACATTTAAAAATGTGTGCAGAGAAAACAGGAAGGTTAATCAGAGAAGAGCATTCTAATTAAGAAGCTAAAATGTGTGGTTTAATATGACTAGTCTGGAAGATTTGTTTAAAGTCCTTGTTGAAATCTGTGTGAATTCTGTTTTAGTATATTTAATTTTATTCAAATAAATAGTTATTTAAACTATGGCATTGAGGTTATTGCAGTAAAGAGAGAGTAAAGGTAGTATCTAAACAACATCCTTTTCTGCTTGCCAAAAAATAACAAACTAGAAGATAAATAAACTGAAATCTCTTAGTGTACTGCTGATACACAATTTGTAAACCTGACTATGGTGAACAATTATGTCACAAATTAGCATTGTCCCTTCACCACTTTTCTCACTAAATCAAATCAGATTCAGTGCCTGTGATTTTTAACAGAATAAAGTGAAACTGATTCTGTGTCAGGTCCACAGCAGCTACAGCAATCTGAAGATTTTAAGTTGTGGGTGTACTTGCACCCTGTGTGGTGAAAGGCAGTAGCTTGTGCTTCTGCAGCTGATCCCCTTCTCTTTTCCACCTTATCCACAGGCTCTGGTGTCCTCGCAGAGCAGAACTCCACGGCCTCAGGTCACATAGGTGCTGCCTGCTGAACTTCCCAAGCCCTCTTCCCAAACAAACACAGTTACTCTGAAACCAGGCTGCTGCTGGAGTGTTCCCAGTAGGGTAGTGCAGCAGGATTTGACCCAGAAATCACAGGTTACAGCAGTGTTTCAGACTTTCGGAAGAAAAAAGCATTTGCTAGTAGTTGTGTACTTTAGAAGTTAAAAGACAATAGCGGAAATTAACTTGATTTTTAGCAAAACTTTTCATTGCTTTTATTTTGTAGCTGTGTTGCAAATCATAGCCACAAAATTCTCAGTCTTGTTTAACTGCTGTTAAATAAAAAAATGTAAGAAATTTTTTAAGTCTTACCAGCACCATACAGGATCCAGTCAAATACCAGCATTAGCACATTTTTTAATTTGTTGAAAGATGCCATTTCTTGTATCTCTGTGGAAGAGAATCTTCTTAAAGGAAGAGGAACTTGGGAAATGTTTGGATTTGAGGAACTGTCGTAATCACAAGATGTAGAACTTCCTGTTTAGAAGGGTGTTTACTCCTGCGTTTAGCAAACTGGTTAAAGGTACAGACCAAACCAGAAAGCTTTTGTTTGTTGTGGATGACATTATTTGGAAAATGAGTGAAGAACTTTAAATTTTGGACTCCTGAGAGTTGTACCTGTAGTCCTTCAGATTATTTCATTGGATATAACAAATAACAAGACATTTTCCAGCATGTTATTTAATCAGCTTCTTAATTTTATATGACTCTAAGCAGCCATTAGCAGATCAGCTGGTAGGTGGCCACTGAAGGCACAAAGTAGCCATTCATTGTAGTGGTGATCTGATGGTGAAAGCTTCACAGCAAACCATAATTTTCAGCTTGCTGACTCTGATTACTGCAGTTACCTCTGTGCCTGTCTGCTGGACACCAGCCTCACTAATTAGGCAGTACCATTAGGCAGTTACCTTTTAGCCAGTCCTGGCACTTCTAGTTAAGAATGTAACAAAAGATAACCTTAAAGAAGCTGCTTTTGAAGAGCAGGGATAAACTTGAACTAATCTTGCAACAGGTCTAAAAGTGGTGTGGCAACCTCCTGTGCGGAGTGGAATGAACATAATGAGTGTAATTATGCTTTATGTAAGAAAATGCAGCACACAAAGTTTTCTTTATAACTGAAACAAAGCTGTTCTGTTTTCTCAGTAGGTGGCAAGTGGGAAAAGCCCTCAGAAGTTTTGGAAATCAAAGGGCACACTTGGGAAGAACAGGTGAACAGCCTGCCAGAAGTTTTCAGTAAAGCTGGTTTTGCCATCGAGGCTTTCACCAGACTGCCCTACCTCTGTGAAGGTGACATGTACAATGACTACTACGTGCTGGATGATGCTGTCTTCGTCCTCAAGCCCGTGTAAGCCTGTGTGAAGTAAAGCTCCACAATCTAACCCAAGAAGCAGCCTCTGAAAGAGGGTTTTGATTTATGGTTACTTAAAGGGAGGGAATTTTGGGATTGCCATGCTAAATAAATATCATGTAAGAAATTTAAAGGCAAAAATACTAATGTATTTCTTTGTAGTGTGATTAGCAGGGGGGGAGGAAAAAAATGTTGTTTTTTAAATGGACTCCTTGCTGAGTATTTCTTTTTTACCAGCTCTTAAACCAACATTGCATTCTGCAATCCAGCAGCAATGGGGGATATTTTTTTATACTTACCTGCAACAGAGATCATATCCAAAGAAAAGCAATAGTCTTTATAATGGTGAAACTGATACAGTGTGAACTGTTGTGAAAGAAATCAAGCAAAATCTGGCAATAAAGTTACCTATTCAGTTCAAGCCTTGTTGAATAAAACTGTTGAAATGGATTATCTTCCATGCTAAGTTACTTTTTCTCTTACTGTCATTCTTCACGTTTTTAATCATGCTAATAAACTTTTTTGAGATGACTTTTGCATTAACTTTTGTGTTCATTTTGTAACCATAGCCATGCTTGTCTGCAGTAACTGCTTTTGTGTTGAGAATCAAGCTTTCAGTAGCAGCACAACCTTGCATTTATTTAAACAGCATTTAATTACTGTTTAATGGGATAACAGTGCACAAAAAATGTATCACTTTTGGTTGGGTTTCCTTCATCTTCTTCCCTGTCAAAGCCTCATAAATCCTCATTGCTTTTGCATTTGCCATTTTCCAGTTAAATGGGTTACAGTAGAACAGTTTACGCACTTTAAACTGATGGCTTTAAAAACAAACTCTCTAAGCAAGTTGTTGCCAAATGTTTTCAGCTTTAAAAAGGTGCAGGTGTTTTCTTGCAAATTTGCTGAGTCAAACTGCCTCTGAGGATCAGGCTGTAGGGGCTTGAGAGTTTAGCTAGCTTGACACATTTTCCTTTCTTCAGAAGCACTAAATAAATGCTATTTATTTTAACATGTTTTTTTTAAAAAACTGTTTAAGTGGATAATTTCTGGCAGTTGGGATATAACTTTCCTTTAGGACAATAAGAGACATCATAAATAGTACCAGCCTGGCAGGTGTATGTCATGCAGTGCTTGGGTTGCAAGTGTGAGAGAGCAGAGAAACCTCAGGTAAGTGAAGTAAGAACTGACTTCTGTTACTTGAAGTCTAAAAAAGTTGTCTGTTGTGGGCCTTTTTGTGGTTTTTATAATTATTGGTGATTTTATGTCAGGTGGGATGCTTAACATGTCATTTTAGGTTTACCTCAAACTCACTTTGCCTGATGGTTAATGATTTCTCCTGCCAATTTATTAGCTTTTTGTTGTCAGTCATCTTTGTGGAATAGTATTCTGTAATATGGGACAAGGGATTTGACTGCTGAAATTTCAAATTACTTTTCAACAGTAATTTAGACTCTGTTATTCTCATTTCAAGATGTGCTGTTGCATTTTGGCACATAGTGCAATCAGATTTGTCTCTTGGGAAAATGGGCTATGTATGCTCTGGAGTGAATACATTAAAATATCTTCTGCTGCCTTGGCTTTGTACTCATCTAGAAGTGGGAAAATGTTTTTTAATGTGTCATGAATTTAGGTTAAGGTAGCAAATATGTAGTAAGATAAACTTCTTCAAAGGTACTTAAGTGTTTTAATCCCACATGTTAAAAATCACACAAGAGACTGCATTTCTTGTCTCTCATCTTTTAGTCCTGTCACTGAGGATCTCAGTTTGTAATGGCTTTGAGAGGTTTGGGAACAGAAGGTACAATATAAATAATAGGAGGGGTTTTTTTCTTTCTTATGATTTTCTACTTTGTTCATTCTATTTAACCAAGTATCTTTACATTTGAGATGAGGAATTAAAATATGATGAATAATGAAGAAAATCTTTCTACAAAGCCTAAATTCAGGAGGGTCAGGCACCTGGTTAGTCCTGTTAAATAGACAGAATAACCCCTAGGACTGTACCTACACCTGTATTTCTAAAGCCAGAGTTCCTTGGGAGGGAAGGGACTTCTTCCTCCCTACAGGCCCTGAGAGAACATTTGTGTGCAGTCAATGCTGCTCACAGCCCACATGAACTCTGGAGTCCAATAGTTCATTAAATTGCCCCAAATACTCTAAGATGCCATCTAAGGGAGCAAGTGTTGCAATTCTAATGTCCAAATTCATTATAGGCATGGGAATCCTGCCCTGTCCTGCTATGGGTGACAGCGTCCATGCAAGCTGCACCTCAGTGCTCTCACTAATGTGCAGCGTTTTGCCCTGGAGAGTGACTAAACTGTTCTGTTCTGTCACGGTGGACTGGGTATGTTGCATTTCAGGAAAACGATGCTGTGCAAGCACACGATTTAGCCAGAAACTTTCAAAGCAAAGTTGGAACAGCCTTCATCCCTCAAAACCACAGCCCTCTTTTGCCGCGTGGTGCCCGGTACAGTCAGTTCATACTCTGAGGAGCCCAGGGCCACCTGCCCCTCCTTGGGCTGGGGAGATGGAGGAGCAGGGCCGCCCCAGCCCTGTGTTTCCCCTGTACAGCTCGTTGAGCTCTCTTCATCTCGGGACAGAAGTGTCCCCCCCTGTCCTCTGTGGAAGCGCCGAGCCCCCGGCGGGGAGCCCTTCCCGCCCTCGCTGAGGGCCGGCTGCTGCCGGGCTGGCGCCTGAGGCTGCAGGGCGGTGCTGGGCCTGGCCCAGGGTCCCTGCCCGGAGCCGCCCAGCTCCTGCAGTGCAGGGCAGGAGGCGCACACGGCAGAGGCAGGTAAAGCGCTCCGGGGCTCTCCTCTTCTCCTGTTCGCTCTCCCTTTCCAGCCCGCACCACTTGCGGGTTCCCCCACTGCATGTGGTGCTTCTTCTCAGAGCCTGGGTGTGAAGGGGAAGGTGGGCACCGGCAGTGCAAGGGCTTATCAGCGAGAGTTGTGATTGTAAAGTCAGCCTTCTGGTTATCGAGCTTCAGATAAGGCAGCGGCTGCTTGGAGTGAGTGATAAAATGTCTAGGATTTCTGTACGTGGAAGGGTGGCTGTTCTGGGAGTGAGATGAGAAGGCGGTCTGGGAGCTTCTCATAAGCGGGGCGTCCTGCAAGGGTGACTTGTCAGAGACCTCATCACAGCATATGCAAGGAACATGCTCTGGGGAATTGCTGGATGGGATCTGCAGGAGATCCCCACAGCGTGATTGGGACTGTCTGGAAGTTGCTGTGAACTGCAAACCGATCTGTTTCACTCAAGAAATTAACTACTTAATCCCACAGATTGTCTTGCCTAGCAGGGCTGTTTCACAGCAGACCTTTTTGTGCACCTGCTGATTGTCACTTGAGTTAGTCAGGATGAAAAAGCACTTTTCTTAGCATTTAATCTCCTTATATGTTACGTTTGCATGCTTTAATTAAAATACACTCCCTGATCAAAGTGAATGAATTGGAAAAAAAAAATCAGGACGGACATTGGAATCATCATTTAACCTATGCTGAGTAATCAAACCTTACTGCAAAATAGTTAGGGCACAGGCAGAAACAAACACAAGTAAGTTCATTGTCTAAGAAACCAGATACATCTGAATGAGAGACATTTACTGTGGTGCTCCCAAAAGAGTAGCTGAAAGGGGTTTCATTGTGTGTCAGAGCAGGACAGAGGTAATAGCTTCTTAAAGTCTAATGTTTAAATTTTTCATCATCTGTCGGTTGTAGTCACTTCTGTTACAAGACTGTAGTTAAGTATTTGCAATAAACTCAAGGCTGGAGGCTTGTTGAAAGATACTTTCATAAAAGAGTACCTTGGTACTTGAGATTAAACAGTCCAAGAAAGGTGTCATTTATCAAATATTCAGATCTGTAACTCAAGCTGTGACAGAGAACTTTGGGGGGAATAAAGAGAGAGTGAGCACAGAATTCAGCAACAAAAAGAAATGCAGAAATTCAGTGTCTTGCAGATAAACCTTTGAAATGAGGGAAAGGGAGACAAAACCTAACAAAGTCTCTTTATGGTCAGAGACAGTTTGGCCAACGGGACCCTCCGTGGCATTTGGTAAATCAGGGACTAATCCCAGTGTAAGAAGCTGCAATCTGTGGATCAAGGCATCATCTAATATCTCCGATTAATTAGTTGTTTTACCTATGGGGGTGGTGTCACTCAGGATGAGCAAAGGGCCAAGCTGAGGGTGCAGAGACAGAAAATCCTCTCTGCAGTGTGGATTGAAGCAGCTGATGGCCCTCAGAGCTGTGGAGGGGACATGGCTGCAGAAACTCCTATGTGAGTGAAACCTGCCCAGTCTTCGCTTCCTTTCCACCCTGTTGCATTACTTCTGTGTGCATCCTTGTCCTCCAAAAACTAGACCAAAAGCAACACATTAATTTTGTTTTGGACAACTGTGAGACAATTTTTTCTGGTGGCAATCAGTGACAGCCTAGTGAAAAGCTCTGGGTATACCATTACTGCCCTTCCAGACAATTTATCTTTCAGTGGTCTTTATGCATAGCATGGGGCAGCAGGAATAGCAAGAGCTACCGAAACATCTCCTTCCACACAGTCTGTCCAAGGTGGTGGTGAAACATTGACGGGACACTTCTTGTGAGTACACAGACCTCGGCTTTGATCCATCCAGGTGAAGTGACATGGTCTGTTTCCCAAATGTGTGACTTTCCTTCAGAAGAGTGTAAGGATGTTTTCTCCCTTTTTCCCAAGTGTGGCAGCAGGGAAGGGGAGCGCTCCTTCCCCCTCTCTGTCTGGAGCATCCTGCAGGGACATGAGACCAGGTCCAGGCTGTCCCACCCCTGAGTTCAGAGATCTGCAAATGGAGGGTCCCAGACCAAGTCTGCAATGATACTGCAGGCAGCTTAACCAGCTAGGAGAAGCTTAGGGTTTGTTTGAAGCTTCTTTATAATTTCCTTTTTCATTCAATTTATCTTCTTTTTTTATCTGATTTTAAAAGGATTTTTTTTTTTTTTGCCTGTTTTAACAAAACTGCCTTGAAGTCATATTGAGGTGCAGTGTAACTTGGTAAATAAATGGTGCTACAAGGAAGAAAATTAAATGACCCACTTGCTTTAGGGAGATATAGCTGGAGATACAGGGAGTGCACACATGCTCTTGGTGGACTTGTGTTAGCATAAATTGTATCTCTATCCTAGAAAAAGATCTAAATTAAGAATTTGGGAACAAGAAGCTTTGGATTGTTCTGATCTCTATCTGTACTCCATAGCGTAGGCTGTCTGTGATTTATAGCTCTGAAAGTTTGTGGTGAATATTGCCTTTTGACTCTGTTCTTCCTATTTGCCTTTTCAATCCAAGTATCTTTTTATTCTAAAAACACCAGAAGAAATGTCCAGACTTTTGAAGATGTGTTTCTTGTTGATATCAATGAATCATGCTGAGATTACTTACAGTCAGAACTCTGAAGGTAAGACCAGAACTCCTGTCTGAGGGGTGTATTTTGTGGCATGGAAAAAGCTGTGTGTAATAAATTAGGTGTTGTTTAGTAACTGGGACCATGGTCTCTGCTCTCTTGGCTTCATAGAGCTATGCCAGCAAAGAATTTCACCAAGACTGATTATTATTGAATAGCCTTTTTTTCCCCCACTGCTTTTCTGTAAAGAAATTTAATCAAAGCTGCATTAAATGTTTGCAAATAAATTATATACGTATATATAATCACTAGATACAATCAATGTATTTTTGTGTAACACAACTGAATGATAAAACATTAAATTAACTTCTAATAATAGGATAATCTTTTACAGATCTGCCTCCATTGTTACACAAAGCTGTGGTTAGTATTTTTATTTGATCTCTCTACTAACATTTTATCTTATAATCTAAAAATAATAATTTATTACATATATTTGTAATTTTTCCTTAGGAGGAAGTAATAGCTGGGAAATATCTGAATGGTAACGTACACAGTTGTTCCCACTTACACTTTTAAAATGAATTAAAACTCAGTATCTCACCATAACTTTTTATGTTCCATTTTTCATGTACAGCCCTCCTAGATATACTTTATTTTCAAAGGTAATGTATTGCTCTCCCCATCTTGATTTTTCAATATTATCTTGAATGTCAGATATGATCTGTTTCATTTCAACAGAAGCCGGAACATTATGGATAGAATGAAATTTGCACATATGATTACTTGGATTTAGGTCTCCTGGGAGGAGTATTTCCTATTAACAGGGAAAAACATGTTTCTTATGAAAAAGGAAAAAAAAAATATAGAATGAGGCTGAAATATTTGCTACAGTTTTCAGAAGTTTTGATAATTAACTTTGCTCACATGTCCGAATGGCTTCTTAAGGAAATTAGATGCAGTTCCAGCTTTCTGTCCATCTTCTTCTTTCAGTCTCACTCTGTCCCCCATCCTCCAATTCCTGGTGGCTTTTGAATTATTTGCTAATTTTGTCCAAATCTGAAAGAGCAGTATAAGCCTCAAACGCCATTCCACTCCTACATATTTTGAGGAAATCGGTGGCTGTGTAAGGAGGACACAGTGAAATTAATGGCTCTGCTGAAGGGAAGGCAGCAGTTACTCCCTGTACTTCCTGCAAGCAGATCACAACAGGCATAATGGGGTGCCAGAAAGCATATGCCTTGGAGATGGTACTAATGGCAATACCTTGGAAAGTTGAGTTTATTGTGGGTAGCTGTGGAATTAGATGGAAAAAATTAATTAATTCCATTCCCCATTGAACCATGTATTTTCATTGCGTTAAATAGATCAGCTATTACTCTGGCTAGACAAAAAACAGAATACTTTTGTCATTGTAGTGTTAGTATCACTGTTTCCCTTTTTCTTTTTCACTCTTTTAATCTGCTATTTAAGTTGTTATATTTATTTTATTGTCATTTTTGGTCCTGTTCTCTGTTACAGCTCTAATGTCTGGACAGCAGATCTGCTTACAAAAGTCATTGCATATTTTCATGCCCAGGAAGTTATGTTTACTGTTAGCAGCCTCCAGGTTTGTGACAATTAAGATGCATGAAAATTTTTATTTGAAAAGGAATTAAAAAAACTCAACCTATCTCTGTAGCCAAAGCTAGGTGGTCAATGATAGAGGTAATTAACACATCTACAGTGTAGCAGTGAAATAGGAATGGGTTGTCTTTTCCCCCGAAGATTGCTGGAGTATGCAAGGCAGAAATAACAGTAACAATCTTTTTTGCTTTTCCTCTGATGGAAAGCAAGAATTAGGATTTTTTGTGCTCATTGTTTCTGAGTTGAGTGTATGTAAATACTGTTTCCCCAAAAAATGACGGGTTTCTCTCAGATTTTGACTGGCTGTAGTTCACACTGCTCCTTATGGAATGAGAGGCTCCAGAGCATCCTACAAAATTCCTCCACCTTTTAAAGCTCCTCTCAGTGCTGTTTTTGTAAATTATCGATGTGGAGTTGTTGCAGGAAGGAGTTGTTCCTCCTGCTGCTGAGGATTAGTGATGAGCTGCTTTGAGTGGAGCTGTACCCAGCTAATCAAACCTGAGCCCCTCCCTCGTCCCTACACTCACTGAAACAGGGAAGTGTCAACTGTGCCATCCCTGAGCCTCAGGCATTCCCAGAAGCTGCACAGTACTTGAGCCCTGTTCCGAGCTTCGTGTCGCTGTTACAGCTCATGCTCACCTACATTTTCCTGCCACTGCCCCTTCCCTTTGTCACGTTTATTGGTAGCCTGAGGCTCTCGGCAGGCTGAACCCCGAGGCATAAAGGAACCGTGTTAATACTTGGTGGTGGCAATGCAAGTTAAGCAAAGGCAGCAAGAACAATTGCAACTCAAATTCCAAACCAATTCTGAAATAATTCTGTCAGGAAATAGAAGGGATTTTACTCCAGTCTGCTGCTAATGAGCCTTACATTTATTTATGTTCCAATGTTTATGATTGCCCTTCCATTTTTCGAAACAGACTTGAGATTGTTAACTGGTAATGCATCTTGATGCGAGAGAGGAAATTATTGGTGTATGACCTGTTAGAGACTTCTCCTCCCGTCTAATTGCCCATTTCCTTCCTTTTTAAAAACAATATGCACATGGTAACTGTTTTTATTTTTTAGGTTTTTTTTTAGCTCTTAAAAGTATCATTTTCACATCTCTGCTGTGTGAAGCAGAAAAGCTTTATTACTCTTGTTTTATGAAATGAGAAACTGAGGCATCTTTGTTAAAAAGCTCTCTTGGGAGGACTTCTTCATGAAACCAAGAATAGGATTTGAAAATTACTCTCTTTCAGAATGCATTTAGATTATTTTTGTTTTCAGTTTGTGTGGAGAATAGTTATTTTGATCATTGGCAGCACGGACAATACAGAGCTAAGCACTTAGTTCTCCTTGAGCACAGATTTTCAGGGAGTAAAAATACAACAGTATGAGTTTTATGTATATTAACATATTTTTCTATATTTCAGATGTCCATAAAAAGTTACCTGAAGAACCTTTTATATCAGCCCAGGCAGCTACTGTCTGAAATGCAGCACCTTGATCAGCAGCAGTTCCAGACTGCAATGAAGTACCTCTTCAACAGCAAAAAGGAGCATCTTGTGAGTTTCCACTTGTGAAAAAGAGCTGCTGTCAGTGGTTTATATAAATGGAAAGGGACTCACAGTGCAGGCCCTGCAGTTACTTAACTGGCTTTAATTGGATTCAGGATTCCCTCTCCTCTTAAGTTAGACTTAGTTCATTTAACTCTTACTGTCTAAAGAGCAGTAAGGGTTGTTTCTGCAAGTCCAAGTTAGTAATTTGGATTTTCACTGTAATCAGTAGGGAGAAACTCATCTCCAGAGAAGAGTTCACCCTCCTACAGTAACACCCAAGGTAGGTAGGGCCAGTTACTCCCACGGAGTATCTTCTTTTTGGTGGCTGGAAAGAGAGCCAAGATGTCTAAAGAAGGTGAAATTAGTAATTTTGTTAATCAGCCATTTGAAATATCTTTCTGGTTTTCATTCTGGTTTTGTAAAAATTCAAGCTGGTCTCTACCCAATGCCAGAAAGGAATTACCTGAAGTAATACAAACAACTAGTAGTTTGCATCTCTTTTTCATGAGAACATCCTATTCTTTGTAGAGTGCTCTCTGCCAGACCTCAAAATGACCAATATATTGAATTAATCAAAGACGTTAATTTAACACTTTTTTGCTTGCAGGAAATTGGAAATATTATTCTTGACTGGGGCAAGACCAGAGAGAGAATTTTTCAAAGCCCAGGAGTAAATAGGACCTTGTTTCTTGTCACACTTGATAAATGCTTCCTGGTTCTGAGTGCCCTGGACTGTGTGGATATCCTGAGTCAGATTCTGCGTGTGTCAGCAGTGAACTATCTCCAACCTGATGTCATAGGGAATCTCCCAAACCTTCTGCTGGAGGATGCTTTCAGAAACTTGTAAGCCATTTATTTTTCAGACACAATTAATACTACATTGGATTTGCTGACTATTTAAAAAGAGGTTGCTATACGGTCTCAGTCTGTTTTCCAGATAGAGCTTTCTGCTTATGTTTAAAGAATGCTGTTTCTAAAATAATTTGTCTATGTGTCACTAAAAAAATGAACAGTTAACTCATTAGTGAACTAACATGCCTATGTATCACTTAGATCATCATTATTCAAGGACCTCTATGACAGAACTTCAGCAAGCACTCAGAGAGCTCTCTATGGCTGGATGAAGCAGATTCTACAGAAATCTTACAACATGAGTGGTATGTTACAAAGTGTTTTCCTCTTGCTTATCATAAGAGAAAAGCACTCAGCAAAAGGCTTTTGGTCCATTGAATTGAATTGTTTCCCCAGTTAACACAGGTCTGTGTAAGAGTAGCTGTCTGGAATGCTTTTTTCTGCAGAACACAGTAAATATAATGTGTTTGTTACCGATGACAAATAGTTCTCCAAAGATGCTTGAACTTAGAGAGTAGTATCACACTATTGTTAAGGCTGGAAAAGATCTCCAGGATTATCAAGTCCAATGACTCTTCCTCTGCTCTGTACAGAGGAAAGTTTATATACACAGTGTCTTTTTCTACTACTCCAGTCTTTTCTCTCTGTACTAAGTCTGAAATAGGATACAGTGACCAGGTGCTCTGCCAAGGCATGTTGTTCTTTTCTGAACTCCTTTTCAGAGGAGAAAAACAGCTCTGGCTCAGGATACATTATCCTCTTCACTGTTTAAAAACACAAAAGAAATGCAGGATTTTGCAAAAGCACATGGCACCAACTTGATCAGCAAAGGGACAAGATAAAATCAAAGTTAAGTAATCCTGATTGGATGCATTTTCCCACATCTGTTTGCCTGGTTAATGTGCCTGAAACATCTGTTCCATAGCTGGGATAGGCAGGATGGGCTCCACAAGGGGGCTGTGCAGGGCACTGAACCATCTGAGCCAGTGCCTGGATTTCACTGAACATCCCAGCATAGCTGTCCTGGGAGCATTTTAGGCTTACAGGTGTGTGTGTTCTTCCTATTTCCCTAGAAATCAAAGGTTAAATCCCCACTTGCTTCAGTGGAGCTAAATTTGCCTCCTGGGTCTCCTGCCATTTGAAAATATCAGAGTAAACCAGTAAGTTGTAGAGAGGAGGTTCATGCTGCTGCTGTGAGGTGATGTTAGTGCCAGTGCATTACTGGGGAAGCAAAGATAGAGAATTTGCCTGGTGTTACTCAGCAGTCCTGGGAGAATCCCTCAGCATCATCTTGGGTTGTGTCTGTAGCGTTAGTAAACCCTCAATTCATGGAAGATCACCCACTTTGGGAGGGACTGGGAGTTGCTTTGCACCTTTTTCCTCCCTGGCTGCTGCTTCACATGCCAAAAGCAGCACAGATGTGAATCCACCCCCAGGGCAACAAGGGTGGGCTGATTCCCAACTGCTTGTGGCAGTGTCAACCATTAGCCCTGGGCTGGAAAGCTTCCTCATGTTTATCTGCACTCCCCAGACCACAGCAGAGCGCAGGAACAGTCCTGCAGGAGGGTGGTTTATTCACTTTATATGTGGATAGCACTGGAACCACTTGGGATAGGGATCAGTTTTAGGGATCACAGCTGCCATGGCTGGTAACTGCGAATCTGTTCTGTTAAAAACCACAGTCAGCATCCTTAAATGGTGCTGGTTTGTCTTTAGCTCTCTTGTCCTGTCTTTCAACTCTCATAATATTCTGGGTAATGGGAGATAATATCACTTTAAAAAACACAGGCCTGACAGGTCTGCTGGGATCATCATCTTGTCTCAGTTAAGAAGCTTAGATCTATGTTCTCAAAAAAATCACTTAATGGAGTCCTTCAGCTTCTGATAGATGCAAGCTGTTTTTTTCCAGCACTGGAAACTCGTCAAAGTGCACTGATGATTTTATTTTAACAGAGTTGTATCGGCACTGCACACAGGAATGCGTTCAGAGCTGTCACACACTGAGCCCTCCGAATGACAATACCCTGGAGAAAACAGTCTTTGTGGCTCAGGGTACACATGGAGTCCATAAATATGTTTTTTCTCAGGGATATTTGGATCTTTATTTCATTTTCAATCCTTGGGAGAATGTTACTAAATGAATGCCATTTTTTAACTGTTATGCGGTATTTTGTGGTTTTGTCAGCCTATTTCCATGTAGGTATTTGAGCAGTTTTTCATTTTCTCCATTATTGCTATTGCATATTGCTGAAATAAGTGGCATCATCAGTACTAATATATAAGATATATAAAGTATCATGCCTCCCTGATGTTCTTAAATAATACATCTGATTAGGAAAAGTGAATTTTAAAAACACTGCTCCATATTTAATACTTTTGGGTAAATTTTTCTTGTCCCATACTTTATCTAGTCTCTGTTTTGACAACATAAAACATTAATTGTTTTTATATGAAAAAATTTGACACATTTGAAACACTATTTCATTTTTATTAAAAAATTTATGGACTCATAAAAGTGTGGTGCTAAAATGTAGCAAATGAATGGAATCTGACTCTCTCTGCTAAGGATTTTTCTGATTTGCAGATTTTTTATTATTTACTAATAACAATATACTAGATAAAATATATTTGAAAAGGAATTACTTTCTTAACATTTTAGTGAGTATTTATTTCCCCAAAACAGAGTTCAATGAATCAACTTCTTGGGTCACTGCTGAAAGCTTATGGATTTTGGGAAGATACATGATCCATCTCCCATTAGAAGAAATATTGAAAATTAGTCTCAATGAAGTAAGTAACAAAGTGTGGTTGGATATGTTATTGCCAAGTAATGTCAGCTACAAACAATATGAACACAAATGTACACCTAAACATGAAAAATAACTTTATATATTTTATTAATTAAATATAAAGATAAAATATAGCAGGAAAATATTAATGTATTCTTTACAAAGTTCTATATTTTTATTTTTAAAGTGCCTGTTGTTAATATGTAACTATTTATCAGTATTAGACTTCTGTGACTCCTACTGAGGGGAACCAATGATAGAAGACCCTCAAATTATATGACATTTTTGCAGATAATCACTCACTTGGAAATACTGATTTATTCAAACCTTCTTCCTTTCTCTATAACATGAAAAGCCTCAATTAATTTTGAGTGTCAGACACACACTTTATAGGATTCATTGTCTCACAGTGCTGATGCATGGTTTTGTTTGTGCTGGTCAGATCAGACTGTTCATTAGCTACGACAATGCAACAAAGCAGTTGGACACAGTGTATGATATCACACCAGAGCTTGCACAGGCCCTCCTGGAAAGGATAAACTCCTCAGGATTTGATATGAGGAACACTTCAACTATCTACAGGCAAGGCTGCTTTGCTTTTTCTGTTATGGCTGTGTATGGATGGAACAGCTAAGGAGGAAATGGAAATTGATAGTGTGGCACAGCTTTTTTGTTCCAGTAGAAAAAATCTAGGCTGAAATCCAGCCGTGTTTAGCAACAGTGAAGAATTGCTACTTTATGAATTTTTGGAGGTGTGCCTAATTAGCTAATGCTTTGTCTCCTGCTCCACAGTGAGGAGATGCCTGTAGCATTCATAGGAAGTTTGCAGAAATATCTGGGGGACCCAGGCAGAGCTCCATCGCATTGTAGAGCAATAAAATAATCTGGGACAGCAGGACATGAGTTGTCTTGGCTGCTTGAATCACAGAACATGGAGGTGTTTCATGGAAATCATGTTACAGTTAGGATTGAAGGAAGAAATCTCAACTCCTGCCAGCCAGGACTGCAAGTGGGTTTTAATTGACATGAGTGTCACCACTGAAGCCACAAAGTGGTGTAAAGACTGCCCTACTGTCCTCTTTGTTCTGCAGGGTAGAGATGAGCCATGCTTAAATGTTTGAATATTAAATGTGTAAGCAGGAAACTGAATTTTCAGGGCTGTCAAATCTGCACTGAAGTAACTTTAACAATAATAAAAAATCAAAATAAACTGCAGCAAGCGTGAGAAAGCTCTGCACTCCACATTTACATTTACATTGTCATATCAATGGATGTATTTAGTCCCTAGACAATGCTGTCTGAAATGATTTGTAGTCTCCTCAGGGGATACCTTGGAGTTTTAAACTAATGGAGAATATGCTTTATGGCTTCAGAGCTCCTGTCTTTACTGCAGTGCAGCTTGCTGACTTCCATGAAGCATTGCTCATTGTCGGAGGAGTAAGCGAGAGAAGAGTTATGCCCACGCTCTAAATTTCAATGTCAGAAATCTTAAAAATGATTTTGTCACTCACAAGAGCTGCCGTATTCTCACAGATGAGAGAAATGTCATGCTCCATAATCCTTAATATATTCCATTTTTACAACACACTTAGTTTATGTTACTCATTTTAACTATACTGTTGATTTAAATGTGCTTTTACTTTTAAGAAGTAGTTACTCATTTCTGCTAATCCCAAAGGAGATGAAGAGCTTTTGGTGGCTATGCAATAATGCATCAGAATATAATTATTTGTTATAAAAATGCTCTTATAGATGTTTCTTTGATTTGTATGTTGGTTTGATGAATTCACTTGAACTGATGTGTTGCTGAAGCAGTGTTTTGTTGTATCACTGGCAGGTTGTTGTTGAGGGACTGGAGGAACTAAAAGCCTTTATGTGCTGCAGAATTTGACTGAGTTTCTGGTTGTGCTGCAGCATTGTCCGCTATTGATTTGCTTCACATCTGGACATTACTTCTCAGACTCTGCCTGTGCCTGTCTCACTGAACAGTGGAAAAACAGGGACTGTAGCAAGAAATCCAGTCTTTGGCGATATCTTTGAGGTTCTTACTCTGTGTAAATTGTAAAAGCAAAGGCTGAGAGTTTACAGGGACAGGGAATTGACTCAGGCTTCCTACAAACCAGTTCATCCCCATCACTATAAAGTTCAAAGTCCAGACATAGTGATGCACAATTCAGAGCTCTTTCTTTGGAGGTCTGCAGGTCAAGGCAGTAAATAAGCACAAGGTGTAATCCAGAAGGACACCTACAGCAGGCACTTCCCTATGGTGGTGTGACTCCTCCTCTCCAAAAACTATGGCTGTGGTTGCACTTTACAGAGATTAATGGAAACATTGACTTAAATGTTACAGCATGGGAACTATGAAGGAAATTTATCACAGTTCAAAACCCTGCCTTGCAGACTGCAAGTTGTGCTGGCACAACTGAGCCTCAGTGTGGTTTCTCCTAACCAGTGTTGAACTGGGCAGGTCTTCATCCATTGGCCAGTCCTGTGTTTGATGTGAAATATAGTAGGCTTTGTTTAATCCTAAAATTATAAAGAGGCCATGTTGTGCCCCAGCTGCTGCTCTGAAACACAAATGAGTTGTATTGCATGTAAAATCCAAGCAGGACTGAGAGTTGAAAACATCCAATCAAACCAGATAAGAACCCAGCAAGACACTTCTAGAGACTTAGTAATAGCCCTCCATCATTTTCAAGATTATCCTGTCAAGGGAAGTGGAGTCATTAACTGGGACAATCCAGCCATGGACAAATGGAACCAGAACAGGTAAATTCTCAAACACAGTCCAGACAGAATTCAGCCGAATACAAAGGCCAGTGCATGTTCTCATACCCCTGTTACAGGCTGAGTTTTAAAGACTGCAGTTTGAGGCACTCATGACAAACAGAAATGGCTCAAGCTGAGATCATAAGGAGAGAGTACCAAGCTGTGTTTCCGTTTCCCAACAGTGACACCTTTTATGAAAGAAGGGAGCTAATGTATTTCTGCTCTGTAGGCTGGGTTTGTTGGTTTGCTTTTATGATGACCTGGAACAGATGGATGCAGCTGTGGCCCGTGCTCTACTTCATCAAATGATTAAATGCAATCAACTGAGAGGTTTCCAGGCTGAGGTTCATGAGGTGTGTACAACACTTGTTCTTCTTGCCTAACATAATCCAACACTTGTTCTTCTTGCCTAACATAATCATGTAAACAGAGGAGGAAGGGTGTTCTTCTTAAATAAGGAAAGAAATGAATGAAAAATTATTTGGACTTAAGAAACAAGGGAAAATAGTTCTTGAGGATGCAAAGAATAGAAATCCATTTTGAGTGCTCATTCTTATTCCTGTTCCATATTCGTTTCACAACTGTGGTTTCTATTTTTGAAATTTTATGAAGTGTGTGAATATTTGCCAATGCATATTCCAGAGATTCCAGTTAATGTTTTGGGTGGTAATGGAAATTGGTTCTTGGCAGATTTTTACTTCTGATCTGCTCAAGCCAAGTTATGATTTTATCCAGTAAATATCTCTCTTATGAAAAGGTACCTCTGATAACAGCTTTCCTACTTTCTGTTTTTAAAAGTGAAATGGCTTCTTCTCAATAATAACTGTAGATTTTGAAAGGTTTAGTACAAAAATTCTGTTTAGTTAGTGGCCTGAAAAATGTGTTTAAATGAAATAAAAGCATCCAAGATTGTACTCCCAAAGAAATTTTCTAGTAACAGAATGGATATTTGGATTTGGCATTTGTATATATTATTTTGTCTGTTTCAGTGCTCTAAGCAGAATTTGCATGATCAGAGATACCAGGATGTATACTCAAATATATTGTAATGCAAGGAATCAGGTCCTGGTTGAAGTTTCAGGAAAAGGAACTTCTGAGAAACTTCAGGCATTTGTTCTGTGGGCAGACATGGAAAATGCATTCCCAGGCAATAAATGTATTAAGTATTTAACAAGAATAGTTTTGCTTTATTTACTGATTTTTGCTTGTAGATGTATCCGCTTTTCTCAAGAAAACTTCCTGTTTGCTTGTGCTGCTCTCCCTGCAGGTTTTATCATTTTATAACGTTAGCCAAATGGGCGCCTTGGTGACAGGAATTGGCACCCGGTCACTCCACAGCATGAGCCCCAGGGAGCTGGCTCAGATTATTCGAGGCACAACGTCCCAGTACTTGTCTGACTTATCTCCTGCACAGCAGCAGGGCATCCTCAGGAAGGTGATTACAAACTCCAGTGTGTGGCAGGTTCTGTCTGTACAAGAGCACAGTAACCAGAGCTGTAGAGCATGAATTAAACCAAGATGTGTCCTTTAGCTCAATGGTTAATGATTCCACTGCTTTTTTTTTCTGATCACCAAGTGTATTTTGAAGGCTCTCCTCTTGCTTATTTCCATTGTGTTCTTAATACTGTTGTGTTTTTCCTTTATCCTCTTAAGAGAAATATTACAGAGTAGACAGAAGGGCAAATTCCTGTAAATCTAAGCATCACTTCAGAAATGCCATGTATTTCTGTGTTTCTCTTTTTAGGTAGCTGCATCTGGAGATTTTTCTTCATCAGTCAAAGATATACAAGGATCTTTCTTTAAAGAAGTCTCTCTTTCTGGTTTATGGAAGCAAACTGGATTTAATTCTTCAATGCTGAAAGAAAAAGAACTAAGAAGCAGCCAGGTAAAAATTGTTATGCTTCCATTCCCCTGCAATTTAGTGTGATGGGAGAATTGGAAAAGTGGTGTAATATATTTGTGTTCAAGGAACACAGGTAAAAGGAAGGAACTGCCCCAATTATATCTCAACATAAACACCAAAGGGCATTTAGAGCCCAGGCAGTACTATGAGACAATACTATGGAAAAGGAAGCATTAGTATGCTGAATTTAAACCCACAGGTTTCAGCCATGTAAATTTTCTCTTTCCAGTACTGGATATTAGACATTTCCATGTAAAGTCTCTGACTTGGTCCAGAGAGATGAAAGGTTGGATCAGATGATCTCCAGAGCTCCCTTCAGACCTAAGTTTTACAGTGCATGTGAGCCTTGTACAGGTTTAACATCATCCCATAATGCCAGTCAGTGATGGCTTGTCTTGTGCAGAAAAAATTCAGCCAAACTGGATGCCAAACCTTTTGGTTGCTTAAGCTAGACCATGAAAGTACCTTTAGAGTACATGAAAGAGCTCAGAGTACAAAAACCATGCACTAGTTACTGTCTCTTAAAACTGGATTCACTAAAGTTGCCTTTAATTATGGTGGGTTTATTTTCAGGCTTTGTATCTGTATGAATTAGTGTCCAAGAAAAACTATCCTGTTGACCTTCTAAGGTATGCACTATATCTCTTTTGAAATGGGGTTTAAGACTAGTTTTTTGATGAGAGCAACTTTGAGGTCAACAATATGTGGTTAATCATGTATTACCTTACGTTTATTCATTCTTGGATACCACAGGATAATTCACCTTCCTTATTAAAAAGGGTATTCAAAACCAAAATCAGGATCAAAGCATTGCAGAGGTTTGGGTGTTTTAAGGCTTAGTTGATATTTTTCCATTTGTTAGCGTTTTTACTTTCAAGAGCCTTTTAATTATAAGAAATGGGAGAGGTGAAGAAACTGTCTTAGGATGGGATTGTGGGGAGTAAAGGACTAGATCCTGCTTAAATATTCAAAAGATTAAAATTTGCCTTTCCTATCAGCACAGGACAGCTTGTGAAAGGACTAACTTGTCAACTCATTGAAATGATGGACACAGACATATTTTTAAACAATTTTAAATTCTTTGAAATGAATCTTCATCTGCTTTCTCCATATCAGGTAAAACAAAACAAAACAAAAAATTAAAAAATATTTTATGTACATAAACCTACTACACAATATCCAAATTAGATAGATTAGAACTTGGTTCCTTCTATTTCTTCTTTGGCTTTTTGGGTTTGTTTTTTTTTCAGAATCCTGTATGTCTCAACTTGTCTGTTAGCATATTTTATTTAAATCTTTTATGTGTGAATTCGTCTGTTATCATACTTCATTTTGACAATTTGATTCTTGCAAATGCAAGAAATTCCTACATCCCTTCTGACTTGTTAATTCATGAGTAATCTGTTTGGAAATACATTGAAGTTTCAGAAGCATACAAATGTTCTCATGTTCCCAAATATAGAATGTTTCATCTCTGACGTCTACAAAAAGAAAGTGAAATAAAAGCCAGATAAAAGGGTTTAAGATCCTAAATTTTTGTTGCTTTTAGGTTAATTGTTTGGCCTGGAAATTTTGGAAAGTCTCCAATGCATCCATTCCTCCCTTCCTCTTACTGGCCCTTCCGTGAGTTACATCTTAGTCCATCTTACCTTCTGAGCACTTTTCAAATAATCTCCACAGTCCTGAAAAAACTGATGATTCAAATAAATGGTAATTTATCGAAGTGATCACTGAATGTAAGCAAAATCTGTCTCAAGTCAAAGTTGGTTATACTTTGTGCCTTTTAGTACAGCACATTTTTGTCACCATTGTGGATTTTTTCCCCCTAGGTAGGCTTATTTGGTTTAGGTTTGCTTATTTGTTTAGGGGTCTTTTTGGGAGTGGATATAGAAGACGAAACCACTGGGTACTGCTGAAGCATATTGCTCTGTATGGTTAGAAACATTCCAGTGTGTTTCAAGACATTTGTGTAAGTTAGCAAAACTTATAAGTGACAGCTTTTCTCCTTAGGAAAAAAAAAACTTATGTATTGATGAGAACTCCTGAATTGTAAAACCTGTTAATTCCTTCCTTTCTTTCCTTATCTCTTTATCACTTTCTGTTTCTTCTGCCCTTTCTCTCTTTCTTTCTGTGTGCCTAAGGGACTGAGAACCCTTCTTTTTGTGGAATATTTCTTAACTGAAAAAAGTAAGAAAAGTATTCCATTTGAAAAGGCTTTACTCTATTTAACAACTACAAAACAATAATAGAAAGACTTTAATGCAAGGCTTCCTACAAACTGCAGCACTCAGTTATTTGGCAGCAATTTTATGTTGCTTGTTCAGGACTATCAGAATTTACTGGAGCTGTTGCCTACAGAGCCTGGCAAGCCTGGGCTGTGCAGATGTGGGCTGTGGCTTTGTTTGCAAAGGTTGTCTGCCAGTCTGTGTGGAGAGGAGCATAATTTTGTTTAATTTGGCAGGATTAAGACTACTTGTGGTCCTTAGACCACCCACCACATCTTCATTCATCTGAGAATTCTTCCTAGTAAAACAGAGAAAGAGAAAAGCTTCTGACCTGTAGACAGTCTTGTTTCATATGGTGTTAAAGCATCTCAGAGCACTTTCATCCACTTGAAGCTATTTATAATTGTTAGCCATTTTTTGAAGTTCAGTTCAAGTCCTGCTGGACTGGAAGAAGATGGGTGTTGAAGTAAGGCAAGGGTTAATTGCAATATTTTTGGCCTGTCTGGTTTATGATTTTTCAAGTCCAGCCTTGTCTCTAAATATATCTGTCATCACAGACTTCATGGGTATGATGGTGGGTGTATGAAGGTCAGGTTTGCATTCTGAGACCTTTTGAATTCTTTCTGCAGTTCTGAGTACCTGGAGTACGTTACAGGCCCTTTGTGTGTCCCTTTCCTTGAACGTCTGGGGAAGACTGGAATGGACCTTCTGAACCCAAGCCATCACAAAAAGGATGCTGTTCTGCAAAAAGTACAGGAGTGCTTGGTGGGTATGGCTGAGAGACGTCAGCAGAGGAGGAGACACCATGGAGGAGGAGAAAGTCACCACCTACATGAGTTCTTCACCCATCCATCTGTATTCTTTTAGGGGGTTTATGTGCTGTATCAATTTTATTGTTCATTCCTTAAGTAAACCTTTTTATAGCTTGCTTAGCAATTTTCTTTGACTCCATGCATGTTACAAAGTGTTCTCACAAAATATCACTGCTGGCCAGGACAGCCTGGAGCTGACCAGTTTGCACCTGGAGCTGCTGCCCTGGCTCCAAGCAGTGCCAGTCCAAGCAGAGCTGTTGTGGCATGGAGAGCTTCAGGGGAGAGGTGGTGGTACCAGGAGGATTTTGTGACTTCTGCTGTCAGGAAGCTGCAGCACTCCCCAGTTTTTAGGGGAAACTAGTTCTTTGATGTAGCTGTCCTTACACACAGTACCAGCTGTATAATCCCCAGTGTTTTGGCAGCTGCTTGAGAAACCCCTCAGAGCTCAGCCTTCTAGCAGCAAGAGCTTGGGGCCCCTCTGCTGCAAGGGGCCGGGTGAGGGCTGTGCTGCCAGACAGAACTGCCCCGGCTCCGCAGGTGCTGAGCAGGTGCTCTGCAGGTGCTGGGTGGTCACATTCTTTATGTGTGATTCAGTATGGAATAAAGAATACTGAAAGCTCTGAGGAGTGCTTATGAAATATCACCAGTTGGATTGGTAAAACAAAAAATGTAAGGCAGTCTCAGCAGAAATTGTAGATTAAGTTGCCAGTGCAAACTGTTGTGTCTTTGTTCCTTAGAGCTTAAATGAGTTGTGATGCAGCTGAATGGTACAGGGCAAGAGCCAAGGTTACCTCTGCCAACAGGGCAAATGCTTCTTGTTTCAGAACAGCTCCATTGCTGATGAATATGATGTTGACCTCCTTGGAAATCTAATCTGCCACTTACCTCCAGCCTTTCTACATGACAGAATGTCCCTGAAGGCAATGGCAGCAGCCCTGCATCAATTCAAACTTTGCCAACAGCTCAGCCATGAGCAGAAGACTGAAATTAAATACAAATTCCTTCAGTTATATGGGTAAGGTATTGGATACACCACCTTGGTCATGCTGATGGTTAGGCCATGCAAACACCAAGCATTTGCTTTGCCCAGATGAACTGCAGTGGAAACAGCACAAAGCACCTTCTGTCACTGCCCAAGCTTGGGGTCTTCTCCACTAGAATGACATTTCTATTTTTGTGTGTAATGTGATAACTGTGGAACAAAATACAACCCCAGGGGCACCCTGCATGAGTTAAGTCCCAGAAGAAAAGGAGAGAAAATGTAATGTTTGGGGGGGCAAGCAAATAGACTCACTGGCCTGGCAAGAGAAAGGGGTTATAAGCAGAGAATGGTGCAAGAATGCAAAGAATGGGAAAATAGAAGTGGGATACTTGGTGTGCTGGTGTGAGAAGACAAGTAAAGAAGACTGCAGGCACCTGTGGCAATAGGAGAGAGCAGAGAAGAAGCAGAGGGATATAAAGTTCGAGCATCTAAAGCAGCAGACTAGGCGGCATTTTGGATGTCACTAAGGACTCAGAATAGGAGGATGAATGCAACCTCACTGGTTATCAGTCGTGTAAAGAACAAAGCCATCCTCTGTCTGGCAAGAATATACTGTTTCTCTCTTGCATATTCCCTTAGAAGAATCTTGCATTTGAAAAGGGAGACTGGATGTGCAGTTTCTAACCACCCCTTAGCCCCAAAGTCCGTGACTTAATCCACCTAATCACGTTAGATGCTGTTCAGCTTCCTGCTAGTCAGCATTTTTCCGTGATAGAATAGCTGTATTTTCCAGCAGATTGCACCCCTGCATTGATCTTCATACAAATTAATGTTATTGAATCTTGGCACACTGTGCTAAATAAGATTTAACTTTATTTTATATCATTTAATTTTGAAGATATTTAAACATCCTCATAGTGGAGCAACAAAGCAAATAAAGTTGTTTGTAGGAACATGAGCTAGTAAAGTTGTTTGTAGGAACATGAGCTAGTAACAAATTTGTTACTATCCTCTTCTGTAGGCTCTTTCAGGCTGAAAATAACTTAGATCTAAGTGCTTTATTAAGTCCCCCACCAAATGGGTTGACTAACATTTGTCAGATTTGGATGATGTTTCTACTTCTCTTTTGATAATGGGTTGACTAACATTTGTCAGATTTGGATGATGTTTCTACTTCTCTTTTGATAACCATTTTGCAGACTACTATTGCAATATGAACTGACAGAAAATGGTAAATTTTCTTTCAAAGAAAGAATTATTTCTCCCTGTTCAAAGACTGTAATGCTAAGAACACTTGACTATTGAAGGAGAGTTCCATCACCACCATATTTGAAGGGTTTTTCTGATTATATTGTGAATTCCACTAATGCCCCATGTCCAGAGAGATGAGAAAATGCAATCTGATGCTTATAACAATGAATCATCACATTGGCATAGAACTGTCTGTGTTTTCTGTGTAATAAAGTATCATACAAACACTGAAGTTTTAGTATTATTATTGTAACATTTTGTTAATATATTTTTCAGCTCCTCAGAAACAACATTAGATGTTGGACCATTCATAGCTCTGCTGTCAAAAGAGGAATTAAATGTCCTCGCTGAAAAGGTATGCTTTTATTAAAAACTTTAAATTTGTAACAGATATTTTAGAACTTGGATTTATGAATGTCATAATGCAGTCTAAATTTTGTAACCTGAATGCTGAACTAGGTAAATAATTCTTTTGTCAAAGAACCCTGTGTTAAATGTTTCACATATTCTTGACTCCATCAGAGAGATTTCTTCTTGAGTAATGTTACTATAAACAATTACTTGCATGTGTACAATGAAAATTGTACATTGTCACATAGGAAAAAGGGGCATTTATAGTGATGCAGACTCTTTTTTGGTACTTTACACCTTGCAGTGCTCTTTACTCTATCTTCCTGCCTTCCAACCATAAAAGTTGTGTTTCTTATCCTGTTATTAGTGGGATAATACTGATCAAATTAGCATTTACTCATGTGGCCCTTTGCCCTGAGGCCAGTGTAGCACAAGTAACAATAACTGATGGCCTCAGCATTGCACTTTGTAGTTTCCTTGCCCTCTTTAGTTCATATAATCTTAATTATTTTATGCATAGGAATAAACTATACTGGAATGAGGGATTCACTCTTCAGCAGAAATATGTGAACACAGTCAGTAGCTTTTCCACTGAAAATAATGCTTATAATTGACCAGCCAGAATAAGACTCTTCAAAGGAAAAGAAGGTGTCTAGCAGGGTGGAGGAAAGAGGTCAGAAAAGCCTAAAGAGGGCAAACAGGTCAAAGTTATTTCTCATAATTTAATTGGGTCCCTATCCTCGATTCATATACTTATCTGGCAAATTTAAAATAAGAGAAATGAAGCTCAAAATGGTGGAGCTCATTGCTCCAGGAGAGGCTGGACACAGATGCCAATCAGGCAGTGCTCAGGTGTTGCCAGAAGCTGAGAGGGCATACAGGAGAGAGAATCGCTCAGAATTTGCTTTGTTCCTCATTTTTTCCCCCTCAAATGTGTGCTGATGACCCTTTCAGTAGCAGCCAATTACTCTTTTCTGGAACATCTGGACAATGAGACAAGACTGAACTGTTACTACCCCCTGCTTTGCTAAAGTCTGCACAACTCTTTCTTCAAAAATTGATTGGTTTTAAAAGGAAGAGAAGCCTTATTTATTTTTTCTTTCCTTTTGAAGTTCCTAGATATCATTTTACAAATAGCAAAGACAATTGGACCAGTTTCTTCAGCTGAAGAGCTTCTATCAGCTGTGTTCGAGTCAGTCTCCAACAGCACTGGCAGCATCCACTCGTCCCTCAGCAGAGCTGGTCAGTATTGCACCAGGGCCTCTGCAAAGTGCTGCCATTTGGGGCTGAGATGGTACAATTCAAACAGACTTTGTCTCACTTTGTCATCGTATGCATTCTGAGAACCAAACAAAAAAAGTGAAGTATTGAGTAACTTACAGACTTTCAGCAAAAAACAGTGAGAATCTTCATTCTGCTGCTCATCAGAGTTGTATAATGCACTAGTTGCTGAAACACTTTAATTATAGGATTGCATAATTAAGCATTTCCTGGGATCTTTCTGAGTGCACAAAGGAAAAAGATGAATTATTTGAATTAGAGAGGTTTGTTAATTTTTATTTTTTTTTTAATTTTTACTTTGTAATCTAATTGAAACCCCTTGAATTAAAAACCTGTGAAGGTGACAAGTTACTGTTGTGCCAAAAGATTGCACATAGTTAATCCTTTGCCAGACATGAGCATATGGTGACTGATCTGTTCTTAAATCTGACAGTGGTGGCACTGTTTTTTCTGTCCAAATGGACAGAGTTTGTAATTGTCTAAAAGGTATTTTAATTAACCAAACTAATCTATTAGAATATCTGGTGACAAATGCATCATTTTCTTTATATAAGATAGATACTCTAATGAAAATTATTCTTTCTCTTATCTGAAATTCACCCAGGCAGAATTTTTAAGCTGTGCCATCCTGTGCCATGGAAAACAATCCTGCTGTGGTGGAAGCTTTTGAAAAGCACCAATGGGAATTTAGACCCAAACGTATTCAAGGAGTTTGATATTGTCTGCCTTTGTCTTTGAAAATCTCCTCCTTGGTTCTCTGCCTAACAGAATAGAGGTTCCAAGCTCTCCGCAACCTCTGGGCCACCATGGAAATCCATCTGCTTGTATAGCAGGAACTCTGTATGATGACTGTGTGTCTCTGGGAATGAATTTGCCTCTTACAATGCTGTATTCATAGGCAGAGAGAGGTGCAGGGAGTTCTAAGGGTTGAGTTTTTTCATAGCCTGAAACAAAACATGACCTCAGTTGATCAGAGGAGTGATTACACTATCATCAGGCTCTAACAAAAGCAGGACTGAGCTGGTGAAATAGCAGGGTGTCAGTTAACCTATATGCATGAAATTCACTCTTTCTTCAACAAGTAGATCAGCAGATCATAAGCCATATTTCTTTAGATATGGACCATAGGACTAAAGGTTCAGCAGCAGGTATTTCAGTCTGCCTGTGTCCTTATGTGTTCTTTTTTAAGCCTCTGGATCTGCATGAATCCCAGAGACTTCTCTAATTAGCCCAGCTCATGTCCAGTGCAGGTGCAGAGCTCTCTCATCTGCAATGCAAGGCCAATGCAAACCTGCCAGCAAAGCTGATAGTCTTTGTCAAAGGATAACTTGGCTCCAAGGCTATGGAGGCTCCTCAGTCTTCACTTGGGGTGCACAAGCTGAGCTGGAGGGAATCTGGGAGATGAGAAGTTGAAGGATTGTTTGTGCTACTCCAGGAAGTGCTTCTGGTATTGAACTTCTGTTACCAGACATAATCTTATCAGCTCCATACAGCTCACACAATAAGGAATGAAGTTTAATTACTGATTTGTAAATCATATGAAAAAATTTGGTATTATGTAAATTACATTGATGAATAACATTGATGCAGAATAACATCGATGCATTTTATGTCACCAATGCTATGTTGTGTTTCTCACAGACCAGTTGTGAACTAATGCTAATATCAGTAGCAATTACCAGTTACAGAGTTCTTGCTTCTATGTCTATATCAAGATTAAAAACAAAGGTTTTAAGGTGCTTAAGGCAAGATGGAACATGAAAAGCAAACCTTGGGAACTGTGTCTGAGATGCTACCAGACAGCAGTGGCAGTGCTAGAGAAAATTTAGATTTTTCACCACAAGCACTGAGATATTATGATGTAAATAAATGGTTTTTGTCAAACTAAATGTATAGCAAAAGGAAGAGGAAAGTGACGTCAGGTCAAAACTCTAATTAGTATTTCCCTCTTTAATTTCATCAATGTATCTGGTGTGTTAAAAATTATAAAATCAATGGTTTTTTTCAAGGACACAAAGTCTTAGGTTTTCATGACTTGGGGAAGGGAGCTGCACTGTGTCTGGATGGGGAGCATTTACATGAGAAAAGCTGACCTTCTGCAGCAGGGGAAAGGGAAACAATGCAGCTACACAAGAGGGAGGTAAAGGGAGAGCAGAAGATCAGCTGGTACAGTGGAAGCTGAACAGCATTTTCATTTGCTCAACAGATTCAATCTTTTCAGTGTTCTACCCACTACTGCAGCTTCCTTTGATGCAAATAAATCCCTCCTCTGCCTCCTTTCAATGTACAAATCTACTTTGTACATCCTCACTTTAATTTATTTATCTGGAGGAGCTTAGCTGAGGCACAGCATCTGTGAAATTCATGCTTTTTACTGGTAATGACCATATCCAAAGACATGTAGGGATTATTTGGTTTAGATAATTATTTAATAAGGTTTTCCTAAATTACTGACAGGAGAGGGAGCAGTAAACAACCACATTAGTATTCTTATTTCTGCTTTCCATCAACATTAGAGGTAGATTATGCCAACAAAGACTAGGATTTGTTAAAACACACAATGGAAACTGTCTAGTTTGATAATGCATGGGCCCAGAGCCTGACTGTAAATAAGATATTTTAAAGGCAGTTTGTCTGTCCAAACAGTGCTGTGTAAGTGAACAGCCCTCTCTAGATCCTGACATTTTAACAACAGGCTTGACATAATGAACAAGCACGGTGCTTCTCTGATACATCCAGCTTCTGTCTTCATCTTGTTTAAATGTCAGACAAGTCTTACAAGATATATCTCTATCAGGCATTTCAGAGTGCAAGGACCTCTCAGGTCTGTTACATTCCTGTTGAGTTGGATTCACTGTTTGAATGTGATGTTTATTCAGCTGAAACTCTTCTTGGTGAACTTCCACCAGGGTCATCCCAAACATTTGCATTTCACTCCTGTTGAATCAAGGTTCCTAGTAAATGGTGGCTTTACCTCAGAACAAGCCCTTACCTGGGTTTTGATGCCTTTAGAGAATTAGACTTGAAAGAAACTTGCAAGATACTGGTAGTTTGTATTGCACACATCCATATTTTACTTTTATTGTGGCATCCTGCATTGTAACTGTTCTGAAATGTATGCCTGCTGTTGTCCAGCATGCACTTTTGGAGTACAAAAAATGTAACCAATGTCTTGCAAATTCTAGTTTTATATCCAGAACATTAGTAATATAAATATTTTTTAAATTCTTCAATTACAAAATAATTAATTTATCAATATCACATCAGCAGCAGTTAATTTTCATAGTCTGTTGCTCTCTTAAATATCAATATTGCTTCGATTTATTTTGTCATCTCTTTAATGAAAACTCTTGCTATTTGACCTTTTTCAGATTGCCTGAGAACCAGAGCTCCTTCTTCAAATGAAATAATTAAATTAGGAGAAGCAAATGTCTTTTGGTCAGTTCAGGAACTGAAATGCATGGACCCAGGGACTTTTGACAAAAATGTGGAGCTTCTTGGGGCTGTCTCAGGTTTTAACAGCTCCCAGCTGACTGCCTTGAAGGAAAAAGCCAAGCAGGTAACTATCCTGTCTGTGAAGGAAAATTAAATCTGTAATTTGATTTGGTGTTATTGAACTATGCAGTTCTAAAATAACTGTGCTATGTCAATATCACTACTGCCATGAGAATATCTATGGTTTATTGGAAAAATAATGTGAGGTGGTGATAGAAGACTATTGCCCTTGCTTTAGAGTCAACAGGCAAGTAGTTCTGAGTTATTGGCAGCTGAAATAATTAAGTGTTTTAGCTTTTGAATTGCTTTTCTGCTTGCTTCTTACTTTTCTTTCATAAATGAAAAATCAGCAAGCAGTACTAGGGGCTGTTGATTGTCCTGCTGAGAATTAAGCTTGGCATGTTAAACTGTCTACATGGATGTTAAATATAGCTTACTGTGGGGTAAACCCAAACTGACTGAAAGGCAGTTATTGGCTGAATAAAGTTCCTTCTTCCATCTTCTCAGAGGCAGGGACACACCCATCAGTGGGAAATTTTAGGGAGGAAAAAACACACCTACATTTTGTCTTTACCAGAAGTATAGTCAGACAGAGGACTGTGCTGGAGCCAGCTCAGTGCTCTGACTGGGTCTGGGGCATTAACAGAGCTCTGAGCAGCCCTGCCTGAGCCAGTGTGGGCTGGCAGAGAAGTCAGACTTTGCTCCATCCCTGTTGTTGCCATTGCACTTCTCCCTGGGGGTGACCTCCTCTTGCTGCTTTGTGATTGCCTGCGCTGCCAGGGAACAGACATTCCCAAACATACTTTTGGTTCAGCAAGGAAAAAAAGCCTTACGGTGCAGTAAGACAAATTGTTTTGGTTGCAGAAAACTGGAAGGTGAAGAGGGTACTGTCCCCAGCCCAGGTTCAGCTTCCTCCAGCATCTGCTGGAGGTTATCTGTTCTCTGCTTCCATCTCTGCATGGTTACTCTGTAATCCCCTTCTGTCAAAATGATCCAACATGTAAAAGTCCTTTTTAGGTTCCATCAGATCATTCTGACAGAATGAGGTTGGGAAACATCTACAAGTTGTAGTTGTCTGCAAGTAGTACAGAGTGCAAGAGGCTCAGAGACCTGAGGGCTGTGACCTCTGGAGGAAAGCAGGAGCAGGGGGCAATGTGGGCCTGGCCAGCATCTCCTTAAACCATCAGCTGCAGCCAGTAGTGGAGCTGACAATGGATTTTGGGTAAATAAGGCCAACTGTGCAATTTTTAGCAGTGAAGCTCAGCTTTTAAAACAGTGGAACTGCAGGTGCTTGAAGAGAAGTGGCACTGCCCAGATTTCAGAAAATAGATGGTGACTCTCTGCAGTTGTGTCTCTGCTGCCTTGTTGCAGGAAGATAACTGCAGCAAGTGTATTCTTCCCAAGCCAGCTTCCCTCTGTCAGCAGGGACACAGGTGGGTAGGAAAAGGGGAAAAATGTAACCCTAGAAGAAAATATAAACAATGCTCCCCTTACATAGTGGAAATTACTGTTCTTTACAGCAGTGCAACATATTGGTGTACTTACAGAGTGATACCAGTTGCAATGTTGTGTTACTCTGAGCATGAGAAATGAGACAGGACAGGCAAAGCTCTTTGAAATTATGTGCATAGATGCTGTTATGTTATTAACATCTTTGATTAGAGGTTCATTAAGCCTGAACTACTCATTGTTCCAAACTAATTCAAAAAGTCTAGTTATCAGATTGTGTCTTAATGAAAGTAAGAAGCTTAGCTCACTTTTAAGTGGAAGGTCTCCCAGCTCTGCAGCAGTGACAGCTGCATGGATCTGTAGTCTCTAGGTGAATGAGGACAAAGGAGTGTTTCAGTTTCACGTGTTGTGTTATTTATATCATTCTGCCTGAGATTTTACCCAGCACTGTCAGATAATACTATTTATGAAGTGCTTCAAATTCTGTAGTTTGTGGCCTAGATCAGGAAACAGACACTTGGCATTTTTGCCTGCATGTGTTTCATGTATCTCTTAAGCTAGAGAATTAAAAGCTTTAAAATTAGGCTAATGCTTTTTACTATCTATTTTCTTTAGAAAGGATTGAAGTTTCCCAGACTTAGACCATTTATGACATTGTAAAACCAACATAAAAAGTCTGGTGGAAACTCAGTTGGGAGGTACAAGTCCAGCAATGCATCTCTTAAACAAATCCTTAACCCGAAGGTCATCATTGGGAAAAGCACCCTGGCAGCTCTGGGGCTGCTCTGTGTTGGATATGCATGTTGGTATGAACAGCAGAGAGCCTGCAGCTCTGTGTAAGGAGTATTTAATTTTAGATATCCAGATTCCTGAGCTCTACTTTTATATTTTCTGGAGATTGTAGAGCTCCATGTCTATCTGATGGTGAAAAACACTTATTTAGTAGGCAACTACAGACATGCTCTTCAGCAAGTCCTCACTAGCTTTGTCCTTTCTAACTTCTTGAATAAAACTTAAATTGTAGCTGTCCTGAAATGGAGTAAATATTTTTCTGACTCAGAGAGTAGCCCAGCCCTGGGCTTTTAGTTTTAATTTTCTAGGTGGAATTAGCAGCACAATGTTATACTAGAAACCTGTCGTGTACTCACTGACACAAAGCAGAGTTGCTGAAGTACATGAGAGCTTTAAAGTGAGCATTTTTTTAATGTGTGTCTGTCTTGTTCAAGTCACTTCCTCTGGCCAAAACCCAGTGTCTTTTTCTGTAAAGGCAATTGGCCACATCCGGGTAGATACTGCCCACTGTCTACAGTCTTCTACTACTGTCAACTAAATGTAATTGATAGTTCTGGCCTCTGAATATTCAGCTCTTGATGGACTTTTATTATTCTTTACTCAGGCAGAACTTTTCCTGATACCAAAACTTCTTTTGTGCTGCTCAGTGACAGCTTTTCGATCACTGTAACTTTATTACAAATAAAGTAAAAATCAGGGAAGTTTAAATACATTGGTACTGGTTTAGAAGAGCCCCTGCTTATTCCTTTGGGTTTCTTACAACACTTTAAAAATTTAACAGTATCTGTACAAACGCTTTAAAATTATTTTTTATTTTAACATTGTAGGAACACAATCTAGTAATCAGAACTTTAGGAACTGGTTCTTCATCTGTATTATTTGATTCTCTGTCTTTCCTTGTCAGTGACTGAGCCAGGGTGACTGGTCACAAAAGCAACTAAAAGTCAGTCCCCTGGAGTGATTGCAGCTGGGTAGAAGCCTGGGTAGTGCAGGTGCTGCTTTCTTGGCAGTATAACAGTGTGGACCTAGGCACAGATTCCCATTTTTATTGTTCTTAGTGGTTTTGCTCCTACAGCCACATTTCCAGCAGTTCCTATTCTGACTCATCAACAAGTCCAAGTTGTAAAAATTGCAGCATTTTTAGATTAACTAATCATTATTGGTGTAGAACCTCAAAAACCTTCACAATTCCTAAGGTCCGCCTTTTGTGTGCCAAGAGGAATATTCAGGTTTTAGGACTGTAACCAAGGGCTCTGAGAATGGTGTATATAGAGGAAGAGTCATAATGATCTAAAAGATATTAATGGCTCTTGTCCAAAGGTTTGGGGGTTGCTGCCAGACTGGAGGAGTTACCAAATCATCTCCCTGGGCCGCATTGCTCTGGCTCTCACTGAGGAGGAAATCATAGAGCTGGACCTGCACTCCATTGACACTGTTTCTGTTCTTAGTCAGCAAACAGAGTGGACTCTTACCCAGGTGAGTGAGTTTCTGAATGTACTCCTGGTGAAAGGCTCTGGATTCGTGGCCTTTGGGACTCAAGTCCTGGAATTGCCTAGAAAACAGATCCAGAGATCCACACTACTCCCTGCTGCTTTTGTACAGCTGTGATCCCAGTGAAAGTGGCCAGGCAGGTCAGCACTGGTGTCTGCCTGGATGGGGCTTCCCTGGGGAAGTGGCCAAGACAGTATCAATCTGCTTTTATGTTAATGTTAACATAATGTTAATTGTTAATGTTTTTATGTTAATGCTTTTATGTTAATGTTAATTGGGATGGAGATGAGTGTGTTCTTTAGCACTTGCCCACTAAGCAGTGGAAAGAGATCAGCAGGTGTCCTCACACTGTCCCTGGAATAGACACTACTGCTAGGAGTATTAGTCCTTCCTAGCTCAGGAATAGGTAGTGTGCCACAATTAAGATCCATTGCCCTAGAAGTCCTTTATTAGCAAATACACTCCTCTCATGTTCCTTTCCTTGAATCACTTCTAGTTATGTCAATGGGACTTTCATAATATGAGATTAAAACTTCCATTTATATCTGCAATTGGCAGCATATTTCTGACTTTGTGGCCCATACCATCAGGGCTCTGTGACTGCACAGATGCTGACATGGTGGCAGTTTTGGCAGAATATCACAGATTTGTTTAATAGATTCATGTTCTGAAGGGCGCCATAAGAAGGAAGCACTTGGGAGGATTTATACAGGACTAGTTTGCTTTTGAGGTTTCCTGCTGTCAATAAGAGTAAGTTAAAAGAGATTAATTCTGCTGAATTTCAGTTGTCTAAAACTTAGGCAGCTAGTTAAGCTACTTATTTGAAGGTCAGCATTGTGGATAGATTAGGAAATCTGGGAAGATGGTTTGGGTTGTTTCTTTCATTGGCTTTGGAGGATGTCTTAAAGCTTAAGATGGACTCAAAGTTTTTAAAGGGTTAATTTAAAATGAGCACCATCCTAAATTACTTTGGCTTGGAAATGCACTTTGGTACCAATATCCCATTCATATCTGAAAATTAATCCTAAACACAGGTCACCACTCATATATGGCGCTTAAATAAGACAAGTCATCCTGAGTATTAAAAATAATAAAAATTACGTATTGATCCCCTTTGGTATTTTATGTTTTCTTGTAGCAATTTAACTGATTCTGAAGCAATCCAGCACCATTTCTTCTTGTAAAGGCTTTCCTTGTGACCTGGCAGAAGTACAGAGTGTTTTCACACCGTTTGCATTTAGCAAGTGGTTGGATAACAGTGCCCTGTTTTAGTGTGACATGTAGGTGGTGACAGTGCTCCTCCTGAAGGCCAGGGCTGTACACTGGGGAGGCTCAGGATATGTATTTATGCTCCATAGCTTCTGTTAGGATTTTAAGCATCTAGTAACAAATCCTTCAATTATATTTACCCTGTTCATGCATACTATCTTACTGCTTTTGTAGGCAAGAGCTATTTTGCAAGGTTTTCTAGATGACTCTGGCCAGACCATCAGCACACTAAAAAGTTTTGATCTAGTTGGATTAGGAGCTGTTCTCTGTGCTTTGAACTCCACAGAAATCACATCCATAAGGACTTCTGAATTCAGGTACTGCATTTTATATCTAATGAAATATTTATTAGTAACTCTATTGATAAAATTTATTGTGCCGTTTTTGTTCCATCAAGATTTTCAGAGCCTAAAAGGCACCTTTTTACATTTTAAATGCTTTTAGAAAAGCAGAAGGCATGCAGCAGTTTAAAACATGTTCTTTTACAGTCTTCCTCTGCCATTTATATCCCACCATTTAAGTACTGCATTGAAAAATCAGGTTTTTGCTCAAAACCTGAAATGTTTGTATGCAATTTGTATACATATATTTTAAATTGAAAGTGGGTTTTACAGTCTTCTTATAGCAGGCTAAGTATGTTTCAGGCCTATTTAGTACTGCATGTAATTGCAGCTTGTAATGATGACCTTGTTGCCTTTTGCAGTGCTGCAATTGCAAGAATTGGCCTGCTGTTTTGTAGCACCCCTGTTCTGAGGCAGTTTAAGAAGATGACAGAATCTGTGTTTGGTGCTGCTACCAGCTGGAATGGCTCTGTTTTACAGGAAATTGGTACTATAGCAGGTAACAAAACTACCTCCAGATGATGATGGTTGTGAAGCATTGCTATTAAGAGACAGTTTCACCTAGCTGGGGATTTTTCTAGACGGGCAAAAGACATTTCTTCCAGAGGGGGCTCACCTGTGGGGGTAGACATTCAGCAATTTCAGAAGCACTAAGAAAAGTTGTGGTATTCTCTGTAAGGTTCTGTAAATCTGATCCAACTGACCTTGGGAAGCACAGTCTGAAGTTACTTGGGTCCTCTAAGCTGGAAAGGGTGAATCAAGGAGGGCAAAACCAAGCAGGATTCCAGACCCCGTCACTCTTTGTGAACCAGGCTGTACTGGGAGGAGCTGTGCTCTGGCTGCCCAAGCATCCTGTCTGGAAAGAATGGGCTGCTGAGGGAAGAGCACAAGGGCACAAGGATTGGCCTGGAGTGATACTTCTCCAGAGTGCTCCTGTGGCCTCAGAGATCTCCTGAGCCAGAGGTCACTCCCAGTTTTGTTCCTGGATTGGTTTCCCTGTTATCATTTAACTGCACATTGAACTCTCATAATTTTTAGCATCCCCAGTGCCTGTGGCAATGATTCCCTACTGTAACCACCTAAGTTGTGGAAAAGTCACTCCCACTGCAGGATTGTGCTCACTAACCATGGATCAGAAGAGACCGTCAATGAGCATTCTCTAATAACATTGCTTATGATTTTATAGGTTTTTCTAATTCTCTTTTCCAAGGTAAGGCAGTTCAGGAAGAGTACATTCTATGTTAATGGCTAAGGTCAGATGATTTGTAATGCTGAATTATAATGAAGGAAATAAAATATAGAAAGAAACAGCATCTCTTTATATAACACCCTAGAATAAACCACTTATTATGTATTTTTTATAAATGCTTAAAGATTATATTACCTTAAAATAAATTTAATAAAAAGAACATTAACCGAGCTTTGTTTCTATTATGTGGGGTTTTTAGGTGGTTTGAATGAGGATGAATTAAAAGCTTTTGATAAAAGCTTGCTGCCATATCTCCAGCCATCAGCAGTAAGACATATACCTCCTGAAATTTTCCAAGTAAGAGCTTGATCACTGAAGAAGTTACTAAATTTCTATTGTTTTTACTCTAGTATAAATAAACGGTACTGATTTATAGGTTTTGGGTTTGGGCAAAAAATTTTCTGTGGTCTGTTAAGTGAGAGACCATCAAGGGTCTGGAACATTAACTTTCAGTTGTATCATCTGTATTTGTGATGCCCATGAAATATGCTAGACAAGCTTTATTCATCCTTCAGAATGCATCCCAAAGAAAAAACAAGTATCACAAAACAGGGAATTGACACTGTATTTTCCAAAGTTTTATTCAGATCTGAATTTTTGTCTCTGTTTATTAACATTTGCTGTAATAGCTACAGATTTCTCTGCTGATTGTGCAAAAGCTGTTTTATTAACCTAAAATCTGGCACCATTCTCCTGAGTTAGCTCTGAAAAACAGATTGTGCAGGCAGACACAGATCAGAAAGGAATTACATCTAATTACAGCAGTACTGAATGTGGACCAGAAATTAGAACAGGGATCCTGAGATCATTGCCCCTGACTTTCTTTGACTTAGTGACAAGATTAATATTCTGCCTGGACTGGTCTCTTTCAGATGTTCAGGCAAGCAATGGACAGATGAGCTAAACAGAAAGTTAACTGTGTCAGCTCCCATAAAAAAGAAAAACTCCTTGAGTACTAGCTGTTTGTGCACTGTACCACTGACAGTCCAGATAAGCATAAAATGTCCTTACAGAAACTATTTCTTTGCAAAACTGCTCTATATCATCTTGTAGAATTTCCATCGAACAATATATTTGTTAGTAAGAGTAGTAATGATACAAAAGGTGTTCAACAAAAAGCAGGGTACCTCTTTGGAAGAGTTTTCTGTATTTGAAAGATTCAAAGAAGATTTTGGTTTTACACGGGTTTTTCATGGCCTCATTTTGCAGCTGTATAAATTATTCAGATTTTGATTTATGAAAAGTTACACTGTATTATGTACTTCAAGTGAGTTAGGAAGATGCTCAATTCAAAATGTCAGAACCTGTAGGCATTTCTGTGAGTTTGCTCAGTTTAAACCAGCACACCATTTGGTAGACAACGAAAAATGGGCAAGGGTTTGCTCCATCATCTGACCTACTTGCCAGGGGAATTTTGTCTTTCCAAACTAGAACCTGGATGCAGAATTATTACAAGAAAAAAAGCTTGTTGTGTAGGAGGGTTAAAATGCTTGTGTCTGCAGAATGTTAACTAGAACTAAAGCAATCCAGTCTGCCCAATAATGCAGGCTTTACAAACTGGTTAATTGCTATGTGATATAAGATAATTACTGTAGGATTATGATTGCCATGTTTAATTTTTGAACTTAATTGAACAAACTGGGAAGATTTTCAATCTAAAAGAGAAAATTGAATAATAAGATTAAAGCATGGGGTCTTTTAATCTCATTGCTCTACTGCTAACTATAATCAAAGGTCAAATGTAAGTTCAAGTGAGGTTGCTTGGGAGCAGATATAAGAGGAAATGAATTAAAACACAAGAGGTTGCACAACACCGTCAGTCTTTGAACAAATCAGAAAATAAATGTCTGGAAAATTAAACTCCAAGAATATATTGAAGAAGTGTACAATACAGTGCTGGCATAGACAGCTTCTGAAGCTGTCAGCTCCCAGCATCAAAGAGAAAGGTGACAGATAGATGAGCGGTCAGGGAAGTAAATGAATACAGAGGATTCCTTTAAGCTCTATTGAGCTCTTTTATAGCAACACAGTGTTGAAGTCTACTGTCCCTCATTCCAAATGCAAGGCAGTGCTGACTTCTAATTCCTTACCTGCCTTCTATAACTGACAGCCTAAACCAATTTTTCTGTCTTTTGTTCCTCCCAGGCTTTGTCCCCAGAACAAATAGCAAACCTGGGCCCTGAGAACGCCGCCATGGTTACAGGATTGCAGCGGGAGCATCTGGATGCATCACAGCTCCAGAGCCTGGCGCTGGCACTGGATGGAGCCAGGACCAGCAGCCCAGGGACACAGAGCACTGTAGGCTCTCCCCAGGAGGGGCAAACCCCAGCTCCCAGCGGTGAGTGGAGTCCTCCCTGCTCCTGCCTAGGGGAAGGGCACACACCAGTGGGGTGTGAGGTCTCACAGCACGCATCAGGGTCAGGCCTCTATTCTGAGGGTGGGTTATAGTGAATTTACTAATCAACTTCTACAATTGTGCCTCAAATCACATGCCTGACCAAGACAAAAAGCCAGAAGGATGTTGGCTTTACCCACAACACAAGGTAATGGAGGAAGACTGTTAGATGGCATTAGCAGCTATCTAGTAGCATTACACTGTGCTAAGCACTAACTTGTGTAAAAGGTAGTCTGAAACAGTGAGCTTTTCCCTCTCCTTCTATCCCATATTCTTTGCCTAAATTTAAGGTGGGGATCTCCATCTCTGGACCTTCAGGTCAGAGCCTTTATGTGCACCAGAATGTTGTTTGCAGAGCTGGGAAAGGAGGAAGTACTGGGGTGGATTACCATCTTTATCCAGACTGCAGGACCGCTGAATAGTTTTTCCTGCCATTCCCATCCTGTTTGGAATTAAAGCTTATACTTCAGTTGTTTAATCTTTTTCGTATTTCAGTTTATACTGAAATATGGAGGTCACACTGGTGATGTCAATGGATGTGTTATGATGAGAGAGTTTGCACATAGTCGAGACAATGTTGAGAACTTATCCCTATCAGACAGCAAATTTGTTGCTTTCAGGGACATCAGTGAGACATTAGCTTTTGGAGGAGAGAGAGGGAAGCTGAAGTGCTGAAATAGGAATAAGGGAAACTAAATTGCTATGATGTTCTTGCTAGAATTAGACCAGACCTCCCAGAAGCCCCTGGGAAGTGGTCTTAGCCCTCTCAGTTATGACCTGTTCCTTCTGGAGGTCTGCCAAAGGGAGGAGTTTTCCGGGTAAGGATCACCTGAGTTCTTGAGCTTCTTGTCCATTGTTCCCATCTCCCTATGAAATGCTTCTCTTTGGAACTGTGTATGTTAAACTGGGAGTGACATCTCTTGAGACCTGAATGTAACTAGGATTCAGCTGCTGGAATTTGCTGCACCTCTTTGGGGAGGTGTAGATAAGACTTCTAGACCTGAGCTGTAGCGTGACTCTGAGAAATAAAGCCTTCTGCTTTCCAGGTGCTCCTTGTTTGAGCGGCTTTGGCATCTGGCTGTGTGCTGTGTTTACACTGCACCTGCTCTTCTGAACCCTCAAAGTTTGAGTTTGAGGTAAGTTATATTTTCAGTTAGAGGTAACTTCACAACAGAAGCACAGATCACTTGTAACAGAGAAGGACTGCAGGACCCTCTTCCTGCTTTGAACACAAACAGTTATTGAATAATTTTTCTGTATTACAAAGGTGTCTTGTACCTTGGTTAGGCTCTATCTGAATCTAATCAAGGGGAAAACACTTTATCTTATCTTTATTGTAAAGCCAAACATAACAAAGTTGTATTTAAAACTCCAGTCAATTACTGCATTGCTATTTGGAGCATGTTCTTGGTTTTACTCTGTGTTTTGCCTGTTCCAGGTTATTTTTAAGATTTTATTTTACAAACACTTCTATTTAGTAGAGTATTGCCATTAACTTTCATTGGATTTAAACATTTTGACAGGCTAATATTTAAGAAGAGCACTGGTAGGCTTGACATTTAGATACCAATTAGGCAAACTAAATGCTTAACTATTCTACTTTGTCTTTACAATTGCAAAGCAAGGCATGTCAAAAGACTTAAAATTTTTCTTTGCTTTGATTTTCAGTGTCCTGGAGCTTACAACTGTGATGCTAGAGATAAAAGAGTGTCAGCTCAGCATGAACAGTAGAATCAAGAGGCTCTGAGATTTCTAAGCACATAGTGGTTAAATTCTTACAAGCAAGGTCTCCATCTGCCATCACGATGAGAACTATCTCCTTTCCATAGCTTTACCATTAACAAGCTACACAGTATCCCTGCAAATACTTCAAGTTTAAAAACTGGAAGTGGCTTATCTGTCTCATGAGAAAATCACTGAAATGTAGAATTGTGGGTTAGGTAGAAACTTGAATTATAGGGAGGACAGGTAGCAGGGGACTGTTATTTGGAGGCTGATGTCTGTTACCTAGTGCTTTTTACATGGGCTAATTTGGTCACACTATTGTGTCCTTTTGTTGGGTTTTCTTTTACTTCAAGTGTACATTCCCTGGAGAGGCACTATCCTTTTGTGTGGTGTAGTAGAAACTGCACTAAAAGTTACTGCTGTTGCAATAAAATAGCTTCATCTCCGGGCTGCTGGTTTAAATCCCGCTCAGACAAGAAGTGATAACAGGCTCTTAGAATTTAAGCACCTCTACAAAACGTAGTTTCCCCATGGCTGTTTGTACTCAGTACCAAACTGTTGACACTGAGGGCATTGGCAATACTTTGAGTATTTCATGTGACAAAATGCACCATGGAAACCTGCTTATGTTCATCAAGAGACAGTCCTTTCACTCCAGAGGGGGTTGAAGTGTACACCTGGGAATCCTGAGGGGAAACTGTTCACTGTGCTATGCACTACTAGGACTGTCAATCCAGTATTTTCCACAAAACCTAGAATAAGGAATTTCTCATAATTATAAACCACAGATATTTTCCTGTGTTTTATCAGCATATGACTTAAGTCTTTAATATTAGCCTTTCATGCCTCAATATTTTAAACAATGGGGAAAAAGATATATTAAAAACACTCTGCATGTGAACATACATTCTGATGTTGTTCAACATGATTTTACACCACAAACAAATAACACAGTTTTCCATTTTGCCATTGCAAAAGTCTTTTTTTTTTCTAGACTAAAAAAGACAGTGCATGGACTGAAAAGTTTAGCTTTTTCGTTCAGGGCTGTACTGTAGTAAATGCCCTTCAAACTGTAATTTGTATGTCTTTATGGGAAACATTACATCTGGCTTCTCAGCCCTGAAAGTAGAATTGAAATTTTTTCTTAGGTGGGAACCAATAGAACTGGGAGGGAGGGAGAACTGGAGAGAAGAGTCCAGCTACTGCTGGGGCAAGGTGAATGTGAGCTCTTGCTGCAGTTGGGAGTTCCCACCACAGTCCCATACAGTCTGTAATTCCTGCAGCAGCAGGGGCTAACTTGATTCTCAAGGCTCTGTTATTGGCAAAGTAGGCAATGAGAGCTGTTTCTTACCCCCTCCTTTTCCTCTTCCCCCTTCAGCAATCTGCTGCTTTGGGAACTGCCTTTGCCTATAACTAACCCTGGCAAGTGTGACATGATGTTATAGATAATACTACATGCTTTAATTCTATGCATTTTATTAGTAAAGAATTATGATTTCTGCAAACTGACTGGCACTTTTTTCTCTAATCCTCATGGTAAGATTCCAGCTTCTCCAGCTGTGTTTCCCATTCTGCATGTGAACAGAAGATTGAGACATATATTTAAATAGAAAGAAGTTTGTTTTATTAATCCCAGGAAATACATGCAAATATCCACTAAAACCAAGAAATGCTTCAGTGGTTCAAATGCATTATAAAGATTTATCAGTGTTTTCTGATAACATACTAGAAAGTTCTGCCTCACTCAGATGTGAAAGTACTAAAAGGTTTTTTGATTTCTAGAAATTGCCTGACTTGAATTCTTTGTGCACTTCTGAAGATGCAGGAGAGTGTTTTCATGTCAAGAAGACAGTCAGCATTTCCAGTTCAGCTACTTAGGCCAAATAAGTGACTTAGCTCTACCAATCCCTTCAAAAATCTATATGAGTTGAAAGTGATCTTCTTCTGTCAATATACCTGGGAGTGATTCCGTTTGCAATTATGTGAGTCAGAGTTTAGCTTTTAATTGGAGCAGGAGTGAGCTCTTTGTTTTGTGCCATCTGTGCTGTAATTTTGTTCAAACACAAGTGCTTTTAAATAGCTGAACTGCTTGATTATTTATGTATTTTATTAAATTAATAATTATGTTAAGAACTTTGGCATTGCATTTACGTTTGGTCAAGGGCTTATCTATTTCTTACAAGAGTAGTGTAAGAGGGGTAAATGTGGAGCACTGACTTAATGTTGTACTGATTTCACAGTGAGATTCCAAATCCCATTTGCTTCATGAGATGGTGTGAGCATTTTGTATGGCAAGTATTGTATAAAAGCAATATTAGTCCTGACAGTGTACCTCTTGTAAAGGTCACTGATGGAATAGCCCATTCTACAAAATCTGGGATTCATGAGACACCTCCATCAAAACTGTTGAAACTGAATTTCTGTGGGAAGAATAGATGGAAAGGGGAGAAAGGCATGGAGAGCAGAAGTATGCACGGTATGTAATCTGTGTGTGTGGACCTGCCGTCCATTCACAATCATGCACACTGCCAGAGGAAAACACGTGCACTTCATTTCTGTGGAACAAACCACAGAACCCCTCAGTACAGACATCTGTTCCCTCTGCAGATGTGTATTGCATACAACATGCACATGATCCCTTTCACTGGAATTCATGGGAAAGGTGTCTCACAGTGCCTCTCTTTTTGCATGATCAGGATTTTGGGGAAGAATATACTACAGAGAAATGTGGTATAAAGATTGTATTCTTAATGAAATGTTCCAGTTTGTACATGTGGGTAACATTTGTTTAAACCAAGCTTAATTTCTCCTATATTCTTTTTAGTTCTTTTAGATCTTTGAGAAAGAAAAAAAAAATAGGATTGTGCATAAATCTGCTATTGAATATATATCATGATAATAATTTTATCTGCTTATGGTGAGAACTGCAGCTGTCCTCTCCACTTGTGACTGCTCTGATGGTTTCTGGGCAGTGCCGTACATCCTGTGGGATGAACATCCAACCATCCAACTGCTGACAGTCACAACTCTGATGTAGGCCTGGCTCCTCTGAGTGCTCTGAGCCCTGTGACAGGTGACCCAGTCCAGCAGTGTGTGAGAGGAGGCATTTCATTTCATTCCTGTGATTGAATGTCGGATCCTGCAGGAGTTAACAGATGGTAAGAAATATTATTGTTGGCTTATTATTTCAGTGCCTGATACCTTTATGTTCAGAATTGTGTTTAGAAAAAAGGGCTACTGATTCTGGATCAGCAGGAGAGGAAATATCCCTGAGACCTGGTACTGAGATAAATGCCACATCTGTAGTGTCTCTAAATCCCCAAAAGGAAGAAAACAGCTACCCATCCACAGTGTCTGAAAAGTGTCCCTGTTAAAGCTGGCATTATGGCTGTTGTCAGGTTTTGTACAGTTTGACTCCCAGTGATCTCAATCTGTCACATCAGAGCTAACCAGCTCCTCAGTGTGAGGCTCTAAAGATACTGTTAAAACAACAAAAAAAGGCATCCTTCCTTAATTTTAAGAAGCCCTTTATGCCTCTGTATAATCTGCTCAAATATACCAGAGGCAATTACATACTGCATTATGGCAGATTTAGCTTATCACTTCACTGCTGTGCCTAGGGATCATCACCCCCTCATTTACTTTCCAGTGACACCAATTGCAGCCCCATCATACTAGGCTGTGACCTTGTCAGAGTCCCACTGGCTGCCCCCTTGGAGCAGATGCAAGATATTGCTGAAGGTGTGCCAGCCAAACACTCTTGAGGCTAAGGGAGAGGCCTGACTCACTCAAACGAGACTCAGAAAGAAGCAAGGACTCAGCAGTCACCTGGAATGTGTCACTTGAGCAGGTAACTGGCCACAGTGCAGTGTTGGTGTTTTGGCTCATGCTGTGTTGTGGTTATAGATACCAACACTGCTTCCCAGTGGGACACTGCCAGTTTCCCCATGGCAGCTGAGGAACAGCCATCAAACTGCAGTACCTCGTTTCCCTGTCATATATTGTCCTCCTTAAAAGTAAAAATCAAATTTTAAATGATCTCTTCCTCTTTTTTTTTCTTCTTTTCTCAAAAAAGGTTGATATTCTAGGCTGGTACATAAAGCAATAGGGTCTCTTTAATTCAGTGAAAATGTTTGCATATTTTAGATAAGTTTGTGGGGTTTTCTGGTGTGTGCTTTGGGTTTTGTTTTTGAGTTTTGCTTTTTTTTTAAAGCAAGATCTGTAGGCATGGGATAAGGAAAGCTAAGAACCTTATAGTCCTGATTAGTAAAGTATTCTCATCTGTGCCATATGATGTGGGACAGCCTTGGGGACTGTTTACTCCAGTGCTGTTGGAGGGAAGGAATCTGACTTAGTTTTCCAGTAAGGCAGGAGGTAAACTGGATAGAAATGACAGGTCTGCAAAGAATAAACCAAAGGTCCAGTGCAAAAGTTAAATTTCTTTTATTGGTACCCCAGAATATTTGGAATTGCTCCTCAGAAAGGGTATTTTGTGCACAGTTATACAGCATGCTGTTAAAAGTGCAGATAAACAACAAACTTGTCAGAGAGCAAAACAGACCTGTGTACTATCCAGGTATCCATAATTTCATATTTTAGGTAAGACTGTGATCCATTATCAGACCATCTTTCCTTATCTATCTACTCAGTCCTTAGAGAAATTATGAGACTACCTCAAAGACCCCAGCGAACCTTGCCTGGCGTCAGGACATGTAAGAGTTTTGCACCATAGGATATTTTTATCAAAATTCACATCTGGTGCTTTATTTGTATCCAAAAATAGATAGCCACAAAATGTATTATATTTTTTCTGCAATGAGTAGAAAGCAGCCAATGTCCATCTGTCTCTTCCTGCCCCTTTCTGTTCAGCATCAGTCTGCTTTTCCAATCCGGATTAATGAGAGGATTTTCTTGCCCTCACATGATGCAGGAACACAGCTCACAGCCCAAGTGACTGAACATTGAAGTATTAACTGGAGGAATTGTGATTGATGGATTTCTTGTTTTGCTGGCAACAGCATAGCAATTATCTTCTAATGTTTTAGCTGGTATAATTAGCCTTAGAAATACTTAACAGCATATCACTTAATACTGTAAACTTCTCTTTGAGGGACAAAGAGAAAAGGAGAGAAGCCAAAAGTAAATTCCTGTAAGAGAAATATGAAAACAGTGAAAATGCTAATCTGACACAGATACAGCAGGGGAATATTTTCTGGTACAGCTTTCCTCAATAATTTTTAACCATTGCATATGGAAGTGAACTGTATTGATTTATCAAAGAATAGCCATTGCTATAGTTAAAATCCCATTGGTTTGATGCACAAGCTGAAACTGCCTTAGGTCATCTTTAACTGGGGCCTGACATGTTGCAACATTAAATCAGATGTCAGAAAACAACTTAGATCACAAACAAGTTCTGAATATATATTGCATGAACTGAGAAAGGGGGTTGAGAGAATGGATGTCAGCTCTCTGCTTTTAATGTATCTGTTAAATAGATTCCAGATATGCATCTGGTTTTTAATAGCTACTTTTATTTCAGTATTCACCCTTTCAGAGATCTGACATACTAAATGTACACATTTCAATCAAGTCTGTGTCAAACAAGCTGGTCCAGCCACTCTAAGTCATGTCTGTTTTCAGATCTCACATGTGTGTAGTGATACAAGTGCCTCAGCACTGCAGGTGCTGATGTTATAGTTACGAATTTTCACTTTCTCCCCTCCTGTTGCAGTTGGAACCACAGATTTGGGGAGTTCTGCCAAATGCTGTCATTTTCAGTACAGATTCTCCAAGTACTATACTTGGGTTTTTAATATGTACCCTCAAGTAGGCAACTCACTGGTGGTTACATCAAACATTATTTGATGCCAAAAATTACTCAATATCTGTTTAAAATATTTATTCTATTAGAGTTCAGATCTATAAAACTTTTCAAATGCAACGTACAACCTCTTCTCTTAGGAAGTGACATGAGATACCACAGAGCTTGTCAAGGAATTGTACTGCTGTGCTTGTAAACACAGTGCTGGTAAAAGGACAGGCTTTGATTCATAATCTCTGAAAATAAGTAAATTTGATTTTGTCACATTGTGGGTACTTACTAAAAAACTCAATAGTAGGTACTAATCAGTTCTCTTTTCTCAGGATTATGCAAACTCTTTAAAGAGTTCAATGTTTCTGCCACATTTTAAACAGAAAAATTAAAATATTTTAGTTAGGATGGATCCTTTTCATGAATTTCAAACAATCCATAACCTTCTGCTGTGGGAACTTTTCAGTGTATCATTCTGTAACATTACACTATTTCCTCAAACAGGGTGTGAAACAATGTAAACAAAGAGATTTTGAAGAAATGAGCTGCCCAGCAAAGCACCACTGTTTACCTGGAATAAGCTGTTACCCATTTTCTACAACTACTGGAAATCCTATTCCTGAGCAGCTATTCCTATTTTTCTTTGCTACTGTTTGGATTGTTAGGTTTTTTAACAGAGAACACTGGAAA